CTTTTGGTTTGTGTTGATTATGTTCCCCCCTGTGGATGAACTGGCACCTATTGTGCTTCTTATGTGTCCTGATAAAAATTCTCACCCTGCAGTCTTTTAAAGCTCCCCTCAGGAGTTTTTTTGACATTTGTGAAAGAGTCTGAAATTTATTATGATGCCTTTTTATAAAATACAAAAGCAAACAAGACAATCGGCAATAAGATTGATGGTTTTTAAACTGCAATTTTAATGCTTAAAACTGGCATGATGGGGTAGGTGTTAGAAAAAGCCCAGTTTTTACAATTGTCAACATAAAATTTTGACAAAGATAAATTTGACTGTCAAAAGCTACCAGGATGACACACACTACTCAGGCATGCAGAGGACATGTAAGCAGAGACTGTTTGGTCTGAGGCGCCAAAAATGAAACAAATCAAAGGTTTCTCACAGGAGCTTTAAAAATCAAAAGTTTTTTTTTAATTCTTTTTGTTTTTTGAGAAATTCAGCCTGGAGCACTTTTGTCAGAGAGAACTCATTATTGTCAAGCACTTGGTTATGTATTTATGTGAGTATACATACGATATAACACTACTATATACTATACTATATATTTGAGCTGTCGCCTGGATCAGCTTGTGGACTGTGGCTTTGTGGCCTGCTTGAACTAGCACCATGCTCAGTTTTTGGCAGCATGAATCATATGTGACACCTTCCCTGTAACAGAAAAAAAATATCAAAATAACACATCTTAATGATTATAATTTTGTTTACTTGTATAGCTTATAAAAAAAATAATGTTGCATTTTAGGACTGGTAAAACTCCCCACAGGAGCTTTAATAAGTAGGATGTGTGGGGCTACAAAAACCTGTTAAAAAACACAAGATCTAAGTCCCATGAGAGTCAATGAGTTATCAGTCTTTTACTACTTTTTGTTTTGCATTCACTCCATATTCAATAACAGTATTACCTAAGTTCATGTAGTTGTGTTTGAAGCTCTTTTTGTTACTCATAGCTTGCACTATATTTTTACTCCTTGCATTCGCACGGCCTTATTACAAAACAAAAGCTGCCACTTCCACATCATGGTGTTTATTTCAGTTATTACTGTGAGACTCCATAAACCATTTTGGGGGGGCTTTCAAGTGGAAAAATGTAAACTGGCTTGGTGCAGACTGATTTAATTGCGTTCAACAATGTGCTGTTTTCATGCAGCTGTGAGGCTTTTTCAAGTTTCATTGACTTTTGCTATTCAATAGATGAGCTCATTTTTCACTCTACTAGACCTTAATCTGACGAAACTTGGCCTCAGATTTTGAGGTCTGTGTGCCCAACCACCCAGACTTTAAAAGCCTCATACCACTGAAGTGAAATATTCGTCCCATCTAAATAACTTACTTTTATTCGTATAGACTTGGTCGTTACATTTTGTTTTTTGGGAAAGCAGTGTTTCTTTACGAGGCTCACAAAGCTGTGTAATTTTGCATGTGTGCACTCTTATGAGAACAGTGCATTAAAGAAAATGCCAATTAAAGGGACATTTTGCCACAGAGCAGGTGTTTGAACTGCTGACAAGGACACATTTGTAAACAAAACCAGTGCAGCGAGAATTGCAAAAGGGGCGACCAGTTTTAACTTTGCCTTTTTATTGGCTCATAATTAAAATGAATTGCCTTTACTGCTGTTGTTTTTCACTCTCAGTCCTTTTCTTTATGGTTCTATTGATTTATTATTGGCTGTTATTCCAACCCGCGCCGGGCTTGTAACAGTTTTAGCACGGAGATTGCTCCCAGATACAATGAAAGCGTGAAACCCAGCTTTTATTTCTGTTTTGCTCCCCTGCCAGTGTGATGAATCTGAATGGAAAATTTGGTGATGGAATAATAATAATAAAAATAAAAAAGGAGGCGTGTTGAGAAGCTGTCGGTATGTGTCTTCTTGCATTAAATATGAAAGGGCTCACAGTAATTGCTTGAGTGCGGGGCAGGTCCTAGGCCATGGAAATGTTATTACTGCTGTGGTTCTCTCGACAGTTAGGGATTAATCAGGGTTTATATCTCAAATAAAGCTTTAACCATTTGGTGGATTGTTGAACTCAAAGTGGGAAACTAAACCAAGTGTGACTGGAACAAATTGCATTTTATATCGAAGTAATGAGGACTAAAACCTTGGGATTGTTCTAACTTTGCAGCGCCGCCATTGAAACTTTGTAATTTATGGATGGGTCTGACCTTTTTTGAGTCATATACTTGGCACCAACATCAAAATGAAGGTCGCCGAGCAGACAGACACCTGGTTCAGAGTCTGAATTTTGATGAATTGAGTCTAAACTGGATCTGATGTGCTGAAAAGCGGGGGGTATTTGCATGCATGTGTGCACTCATGTTCATGCACGCTCTGAGAGACTCGAATACTCTGCGGTCGCTGGTTTTAGAGACGGTCAGAGCTGCTAATTCAGTTTGATTGTCTGTCTTTGCTCATTATTTCAGATAATGACGTTTGGATTTGGTTTTACATTTTCCATTTTGCTCTTAAGAAATTTGTTATTGTGAGAATAAGATAAGAAGAAGTTTATCGATCCTCAAGGGGAAAATCAATAGAGCAAACATAAAGAAACATAAAGTTGTATTATGAGAATAAGTTATGAATAAGTTAAGATGGTTGATCTTTATGTACATTAAAATACCCTATAAGGGGACAGAAGAGCAGCTAAAGGTCTGCTTTAAAATCAGGAGGATCTTGTGAAGTTACAGCTCAGGACAAACAGCCTGTTGCAGAACAAACAAAAGCTTCCTGTTTGTTCACTTTCTTCCCAAATGACTCTGAAACCTGATAATAATGAGACCATGATGCTGGCATAGTAGGAGATTTAAATATTTAAAAAATAAGTTTTTAAAGGAAGTGACGGTATATTTCAGTATAACCTCTAAAGATACTCCACATTTACGTTCAGACAGCTTCAGGCTGCTCTTTTGATCATCGTTTTTTTAAAACTGCATAAAGCCCCAAAATTACGACTTTATTCACGAGATGTTACGACCTTAGTATGACTTTTGTTTCCCTTAATTTTATGACTTTATTCTTAAAATAAAAAAACACTTTTTATAACTCTAATGTTTCTCCATGCTATGACTTTATTTTCATATTAATATCTCTTTTTAACACGTTTAATATTTGTGATTCTAGAACTCTACTTGTATAACTTATAATACAACATATTTATTCTTGTAATAAAACCACTTTTTATAACTCCATGACAGTATTTCCACAATACTATGACTTATGTCTACAATATTATTTTTGCCACTTTTATTTCTTGACTATAAAACTTCCTTTTTGTAATAACTCTGTTTTTATGACTCTTATTTCTCATAGTAATAAAACTTTTTGACAATTTTTTCTTGTCACACTCCGACTTCATTCTTATAATAATATCCATTTTATATCCCTTTTTTTCATATCACTCTGAATTTATAAATGCAATAATAAGATACTTCTTAACACTCTGGTTTCTTTTAATTCCAAAACTTGATTCACGTAAAAATACCACTTTCTATGACTTTTAGTTCATGCATTAGTACCACTTTTACCACTCTTATCTCCCATAATAGTACGACTTTATTCTTTTTTATACCACTTTTTACCACTTTTGTTTCTTGTTTTTTCTAAAACTTTATTCTCATAATACCACTTTTTATGACTCTTAGTTCTTGTAATAATACCACTTTTAAACACTCCTATTTCTTGTAATACTATGACTGTATTTTTTTTTATAATACAACTTTTTACATCTGTTATTTCCCATAAAAGTACAACTTTATTAGTGCAATAATATTCCCTTTTACCACTCTTGTTTTTTTTTTATTTTATTCTCATATTAAAACCACTTTTTACGACTTTTAGTTTGTGTTGGACAAAATTCTTTACTCTTGTAATAACAACTTTTTTTTAATCTTATTGCCACATTTATGACTTTATTCTTAAAATCTCAAAGTTTTTTCCACCTTAATGTAGTCTAAATACTCTATCGTCATTTTCACATATAGGAAACATAACCAAGTCTTTAAAGCTCTTCATAATTGGTTCATTAAGGAGATACAGTCATGTGAGTTAAACTGAATAAAGGTGTCATCAAAAGTGAGATGTATCAGGTTATATTAGCACTCGTCGTTCACCTGGATGAACATAATAAAATATCACCTGATTGTAAAGCAGCTGGTGAACAAGCCGCTGGAGGTGAAGCATGAATGAAGCAGCAGATGCCAATCAATCACTGTCGATAGCAGTTCAGAGCTCAGCTTGAATTAATCCTCCTTTTCACACACTGTCAGTCAAACTTCCTGCCAGCTGTATTTGGGATCTCTGTTTCCTTTTCCAGTTTTGTTTCTGCTATTGAGCTATTTCCAGACATTTCCCCTGATGATATTACATAACCTTTAAAACAGACTCGTAGCGGGTCCTGTGCACAATCACATCTCAACAAATGAGTCGTATTAAGTTAAATATCAATCGGCTGTTAGTGTCAGATTTGATAAAGGTCTGACGGCGAGTCTTTGAGGTTACATAAGTTAACCTTGAATGAACAAAGAGGCTGTAGAGATGCTGTCTCAGAGTCTGGTGTGAAGGTGTATTATATAACACGGAAAAGGAAGAGGCTCTAAATTGTGGAAGCAGGCCTTTAGATTCCGTGCAGCAGTGTAAAGTGTAAGCTGCAGTGCGATGCAACATTAATGCAAGCCTCTTGTTGGCACGTACACACTCGCTTTCTACCGCTGATAAGTGGTTATGTCCTTGGGGGGAATGATGCACCTTACAGCTGGCCTGAGCAAGGTTAAAACTCTCACTGTGTCTGTCCTTTAGTCCCAGAAGTGCTGCTGCAGAAGCCGCAGCATTTAGAGGGCAAGGTAGACTCAAGGCAAATTAGCCGATAGCACCTATTACAGTCTGCAGTAAACAAAACAGCAGTGCAGAAATGAAAAAGGCAGAGCCTGACAAGCAAAAATGATGAAATAAAATGCAACTGTCAGGTTCGGGCGTGTGTTGGGAATTGGGGAACTGGAACTAGAGGGAGTGCAGCGATGTCTCTTGATGAGCCAATCACCGCTTAAAGATGTAAATATATTCAGCCCCTGACTGACAGCTCATCCTGTCATACGCTGCGAGACCTTCCATCGAACATATTACTCTCTCCTTGGCTTTCCTTTTTTTTTTTTTTTTCCATCGCCCCAAAATCTCAAACTGCTTCTAGGGAGCAAAGCGGCATGTGTTGGCCAAGCACGAGGAGTGAAAATAGAAGCAATCATTTATTCATCGATTGAAACATCAGAGGACTAAGAGGCAGCGAGGGAGTAGGAGCAACAAAGAGCGGGAAAGATAGACTGGCTGGAGGATAAGGGAGGAAAGAAGCAGAGGGTGGTGGTGGTGGTTTCGAGTAAGTGGATTGGATGGAGAACAAAGAAGGAAAAAAAAACTGTTGAGCGAACACAAGTGGATCGTTTTTCCTTGATAAGAAGACATCAAAACATGGAAATAAAAGAAACGTCAAGTGGTGGGGAAGGGGGTTATTCCAGTAACTACATTTTTTTACAGGGTGACGGATGAAAGACGGTCACAGAAAAGCAATATTTACCAACCAATAAAAGTGTTTATCTACTGATGCTGCCAGGGTGATCATCAAGGTAATGAAAGTAGTAAAAAAATATTGAAACATCTGGCACTGTGCAGTTTAGGAGCTGTTATAACTTTCATTGTTTTTTTTTCCTAACCTTGAAGTGTGTCTGCGGAGCAAGTAGCAATCAAGCTTACAAGTTAATCATGAAGATTGCACACAAATAAAGGTGTGTTAGCGTCTTACCTTGGCTAATATTTGACCCAACTTTTACTTCATATAAGGAATAGAGTATCCTGATTCAAGACTTCTTAAAAAAAAGGCAGACAAGTAAGAAAATGATATAGCTTTTTGTCAAAGATGCAAACAAGAGATCAGATTTTTAGCCAAATGAGGATCAAGATTTTCACCCACTGTTGTATGTGAGGCTGTAACTGCAGTTTAGTGTCATTTCATTCCCCACAAGTTTATCTTTTCTTTTTATAAGCATTTAGATACACAAAATAGACTTTGAGAATTCAGAAACAGACAACAAGCAGCTTTAACAAGTTTGCCATGTTTCTCTCTAACCTTACAGTGGGTAGCCTTTGTAGCAGTGGAGCTAAAAAGAGTATTTCCTACAGTAATTATCAAATTGAGTCACAGGCTAATGGGAAAATACGTTAGGTCAGAGTTAAAATTATTTAAAACGGCCTTAATTTAATAGAGTTAATTTAGTACACGGTTCTGAAGCTAACTGAGGTTGAGCATCCTTATGGGAATGACAAGCTAACCAACCAAGTTGTAGCTTTGAGATCTTTAAAGGGATATTCCGGCGTAAAATTAATTTAGGGTCAAATTTAGGGTCTAACACTGAGTTAGACACCCCTCGAGAGATGAATGTTGCTGATCACTTGCTTCTCTAGTTATACCAACTTTAGTAACGACCCCAGGATAGCGATACACTGCGGTCTGAGGAGCCATAAACAAACCTCAACCAAAAAGCCACTCTATAGCCACAAATAATGCTCAGAACAGCACCGAACAGAACAGTACATACAGGAGTCCCAGCCACAACACAAGCCACCAAACATCTATTTAGCTTCACCTGGTTCCTTTAGCAAAGAGACTAAACACAACTCACCTACTCTCTTCCAGCAGCCGCTTGTTTGTAGCGAGACCTCAGGCCAGTTTATTACGGACTGCTGCAGGGTGAAACAGCTGTCATTTATGATGATTTCGTTATCATTTCCTTAAAGTAATAATCTCCATATTAATCATTTTGCACTGCAGACACGGTAGTTCTTCTGCCTTAGTGTCTCGGTTTGATTGCATTTCCATGAAGAAATGATCATAAATGTTCTTCCTTGAGCTGCGTCACCCCGCTGTAGTCCGTAATGGACTGGCCTGAGGTTTCGCTACAAACAAGTGGCTGCTGGAAGAGAGTAGGTGAGTTGTGTTTAGTCTCTTTGCTAAAGCAACCAGGTGAAGCTAAAAAGATGTTTGGTGGCTAGTGCTATGGCTAGGACCCTATATGTACTGTTGATGAAGTTAGGTGCTGTTCTGAGCATTATTTGTGGCTATAGAGTGGCTTTTTGATTGAGGTTTGTTTATGGCTCCTCAGCTGTCATTACTAAAGTTGGTATAACTAGAGAAGCAAGCGGTCGGCAACATTCATCTCTCGAGGGGGTGTCTAACTCGATTTTACAGTGTGTTTGACCCTAAATTAATTTTAATCCGTAATATCCCTTTAAGTGTGTTAAACCCAGAGAAAAAGACTCAAAGCTACACTGGCAGAAAGATTTCATGTTAAAAACCTTTGAGTCCCAGTGTGGCCGAACTGCTACGTCAGCATACTTCACTGTTCGCCATAGCGGCTAAAGTTCGGAGTATAGTAGCTTTGAAAAGGTTTAAAACCAGAAGCAGACAGTATATAATCAAAGTCTTAAAGTTTGACTCTTGTCCAAACGAGGTTCTCACCAGCTACAGCAGACCAGGTAAGGCTGCCGCTGCAAACCCTTCAAACAGGTAGTTTCAAATCTCATATGCTGAACTTCTCATTTACAGGATAATTTTGTGTTTAATGCGCCGTCCTTGAAGGCTTTGATAGTGTCTGAAAATGCTAAATACGCTCTCTCATCCCAGCTGAACAAAAAATACAAAGTTCACTCCGATTAATCTTCTTAAGAACGACCCGAAAGGACAGAAATAAGAGCATTAGTTTTGATGGTTATGTGACCTCCATGTGGACATACTTAGCACTAAGTGTGCTGTCACATGGCTTTTTAAGGCAACAATCCCAGGCATCAGATTTCTCTGTTTATTGACACGAATCATTAACTATCTCATCTCAGATACAACACATGTCCAGCAAAGCGCAAAAAGAGTGAAAAGCTTTTGTCCTGGGTAAGGGTATACATTTAAACAGCATTATCCTTCACTAGCAGTGGGGGGAGAAACATGACATGAGACAGGATTATCCTCTTACAGGGAGCTCTCCTTACTACAGGCGCATGATGTGAATCGAAGATACGAGGACCAGGATCCTGGGATACAATTGATACATTCTGTTATTATTATCATTATTATTATATTTTTTTTAAACTTCTGAGAGATGTGAGCTAGATAGATTCCTCCCACACAGTCCAAATAAATAAATACAGAGAGGCAAAACCGGTGCCAACAGTTACAGTGATACAAGAACATTTGAGAAATCAAACGATAGCAAAGAAAAGGAAACAAACGGAAACGAGGACTAAATAGTAAGAAGCGGGATAAAAAGTAAACATCGTCGCAAATGCTCGAATCCCAAAGGTATTCTACCTTGTTCCCCTTCCCTCCCTCTTTTTTTTTTTTATAAGTATCATACAGCAAAAGACATTCAGAAGAGCAGACCGGAGTGATAGAAAACACTCATGCAAAGAAAGCCTTTTTCACACATAGTCACTAACACAGGAAAATCATCTCAAACAACAGCGCTGTCAACAGTCAGTGCCTTCAGGTCTTTTATAGCGAATGTTGTTATTGTTTTGCTGTTTCTCTACAGACTTTTGATTTGCTACTGTTCTTGATAAAAACGATATGACAGGCTTCACCCATTAGGCTAACAAGGCTTCTGGCAAGACTCACCTCCCATACCTCTGTATGTTCATGGAAATAAGTGGGAGGACAAGGGGGGGGCGCACAGTTTATTACCAACAGTCTTTGTTTCGGGACCCCCCCTCTTCTCTCCGTTTGACTAAAAGAAAAGTTCAGCTGGGAGGATTTCTGCAGAAGCACCAGAGCCATGAAATGAGCTTCGGTTGATAATCCGGTATATAAAAAGAAAAGGCGTGATGTTATTTTTTTGGCATCTGTTCGTACTCTTTTAAACTCTATATAGTCATCTACTTTTACAATCATTTTCTATGCGGTAAACAATTAAAGAGTTTCATTCCAAAATAAAAAAACCTCTAAGAAAAAAGATGGCGTCTATCAAAATAAAGTCCACTATGGGTAAATATTAAAGATAGAAGTCGTTTTAAGACCTTTTATTTACAAAACAGCTGTTTTATTTTTTGAACAATCATCTGTGATTTTGTGAAAGGAACTTATAAAGCTTTGTTTTTTTTATAACAAATATATCACATTTTGGAATGAAACCCTTCAATTTGACATTTTTTCAGTCTCATGTATATGCACATTCAATCCAGTTAGCATTCTCTGATGAGGCAGTCTTTCACGTCATGGTTCTTGGTATTATAAATAAAAATGGTCTTTTTTCTTTCGCAGATATATTTTTCGTATATAGGGAGATCTCTACACAGACGACATGTATTTTTGTATGTAATCCGTTTCCCGTGGTTACAGTTCTTCTGAGCGGATGACATGGAACAGCGTGACGTTGTAGAGCACCTGGTGGCCATTGTTCCAAGCATAGAGGGCTCGGTCACGCGGGTTGTAGTCCAGCATGGAAATATGCGAGTACTTATTCTGGAAGGCAATGTCAATGTACTCGTACGTAGAAGAGTTGGTGGAGTAGGCGTAGTAGACCTTAGTACCTCCTGAGTAGCCATTAGTGACGTAGAGTGTACCACAGATCATAAAAGACTCGCCCGCACTCCTTTTAGGGTGGTTGGTGGTCCAGCTCTTGACAATCTGCAGCGTGTTAGGGTTCAGCTTACTGATCACTATATTCCCGGCGTTCTGGTTGGTGGCGTAGACGGCCCACAGTCCCCCCTCGTCCACCATCAAGTCAATGTCAGAGTGGCCGCCCCAGGCGTAGTGATACGCATTGTTAAAGCCTGCATAGTCAAGCTGCCGGGACTTGCTGATGGTCGAGGTGCGGAAGTCGAACTTGATGATGACGTGGCTCTGGAATTTGTTGAAGTAGATGGAGCCGTTGTAGACCACCTGACCCGTTCCCGACCACGGGTGGGGCAGACGATGGGACGTGAAGTTGTCCGACGTCATGAAGTCCTGCATCGACCTGTACTCCCGGACGAAGCGGTTGTTGTGGTAACCATCCATGTACCAGACCTAAACAAGACGTAGAGAAGAAGAAAGACGGATTAGAAATGAACAAAACAGAGATGGAAAGTAGAGTTGTGCTGGTTCTGAAAAGACTCTCTACAGTTCAAAATGCAGGACCAAGAACAGAAGATGTGAGGGGCTGCAAGATGAGCTACCACTAATGTTAGCTCAGCATGTTTGCAGCCGCTCTGCTCGCTGTCCAGCACTTGCATTACATCACTTCTCATTGGTGTCATGATGTTATAAATAGTATCAGGACATTTCTTCTAAAAACCGCCATCATCTCCACTTTTAAACTCAGTGTGCTTCGAGTGCAGAATCTATGATGCAAATCACCCAATCACAACGTCTACAAGCATCCCAATTAGGTTCGTGCTGAGACGTCCTGCAGTAGCAGTCGCAGCAGAGCTCCAGCAGCTTCTGAATACAAACACTCAGGATGACAGCCGCGGGGTGGCATGAGCCGGGCCCCACAGGGATAATGCCCATCATTCCACATAAAAGGCCCATCTCGGCTGCTTCGACCCAGCTTCCTGCTGGCCCCGGCGGTGGTGGGCAAGAGAGGAGGGAGAACTTATTCCGGAGCTGCTGGCAGCTCAAACGCTTCCCCCATCTCTGCGGGACTGAGACACCTGAAGCCCTTCCCGTTACCTGCTTCCCTGTTCTGCGGTGATTGACTAAAAAAATGATTCATAAAAAGGAAGTAGGCCTCCGGGGGAGGGCAGGAGAGAAAAAAAAAACACAGAGTAAGGAAACCACAAGATAAAAAGAAATAGAGCAGACCTGTCTGCTCTTGTCAATTGCGATCACTCTTCCCTTTTGGCCCTTTGATACAGCTCCACATCTTTTATGCACGCTCTTCAAAACGTATTAGTTTCTACAAAAAGTAGCCTTTGCAATATGCTAAATATGCTCTCAGTCAGCAGTAAGACGCCTGGAATACCTTTAAATACAGGTGTGCTATCATGACAATTAACCACCATAGAGTAAAACACATCTGCATGCTCCTTCTCTTTCAATCAACAGTTCCCTTTAAACCTGTTCAAAGTGAGTATTTTCTTTCTTGGTACTTTATTTCCTCCTCCTCGTCTTCTTTGAAGTGTCTGGGTATAGATTTATCCCCGGCCTTTTATTTTAATGTGTCCTAGTAATGAAAGCAGAGCCATTTATTGAGCCAACAGAGGCCACGCTCAGAAGTAATCAACTGATAAAAAGAGCTTTCAGCAATTAGCACCGAGTGTTAAATCTCAATTTGTAAGTCCATCTTCACCTGCGATCGCAATTAAATCTTCATTTAAAGTCAAGGAAACGATTTGGGGTAGATTTTTGGGGCGTGGGGTATTGACTTTCTGCCCTTAAAGTCCTCATCTAGAGTGTGTGAACGCTCTATTTCTGCCACAAAATCATCTTGTCACTCAGCTGGAAATTACTGATGTTTTCTTTAATCCGAGTGTGGCACGCACTGATTTTTCTACAGGGGGAGTTTAAATAAAACAACTCCAAGCCCAAAGTGAGTAAATACAGCAGCGAACATGTTCAGGGAAACAAATGTATTCACTGTTTTTATTCCACCGTGCACCTGCTCGATCAAATAAGGCGTTGGAAAACAAAGCCCAGCTGGGGAGGATAAAATTACAGGTTCTGTTTCTCTCAGGTGCTGTTTTGGATTAGAAATGTTGAGAGTAAAAACTGATGTTTGGTAAAAAGCCTGAATTAAGTGCAGGAGAAACTCATTTACAGAGTAATTTTGAGGGGAAATAAAATGCTCAGTCAAATCTGAATGGGCAGTAAAGTCAAAGCGGATGTATATGTGACATGCGGGCGCCTTAAAACCACATTTCCTGATAGTTTCCTGCTATTTTGGAGTCAGAGCTGGTTGAGTAACAAGTGGCATCATCATTTGTTTTGTGATCTGGGAGAGGTGGGAAATGAAATGTTCTTTCTTGAAGAACAAAACGTGCATTGTATGTTTGATTTGTGAAAGTTGCAGCCTGTAGGTAACAAATGCTTTAAGTGCAGCGGTTATTTTTTTAGTTTATTACTGTTTGACATGCAAGGAAATGCTGTTTGTTTTGTCTTAAATGAAACCGTCTTCATTAATAAATAAGTTCAAGTCCTTCTCTTCATCTTCAGAGTCCCAAATATCTCATGTAACCCTTAAAGCAGACAGTCCGGGTTTGGAGTCTCTTTGCAATTCATGAATGTAGTTCACACTGGACTGACCCCACAGGAACAGACAGGTATCGTGAGCTGGGGGCGCTGTGCTTTACAGCTGACGGTCTGTGAAAACCATCTTGCCAACATCATCTTTTACGGAGCAGGTTTTTAAAGTCGGAAAGTGTAGTTAAATATTCAGCCATTGGATAGCAGTTACAGGTTTGTTTACAGGCTTTCAAAGCTGAAGTTTTTTTCCGATATTCGATCAGAAAAAATTGGATTTTCTTGGCTTTTAAAGCAAGTATCTGTCTATTGTTCCTAAAAGGAGGGTTGGGATTGAAACGTAGACAAAAAGTGATCTATGAAAATGATCTAGTACATTTTTATCTCTGTGAACTTCTATAAATGAAAGCCTAAAAAGCGTAGTCTCTGGTTTCTGGTTCAAGTATTTCTGCATGTTTTCCCTGCACAATTGTGGGTTTTCTCCAGATACTCTGGCCTCCTTCCACAGCCCACAGACATGCTCATCAGGTTAATTGCTTACTCCAAAATGCCTGTTAGGTGTGAGTGTATGTGAATGGATGTTTGTCTCTGTTTGCTCGCCCTGCGGTGTACCCGGCTTCCCGCCCAGTGACAGCTGGGATCGGCTCCAGCCTCCAGCGACCTTGATTGGGAAAAGTGGGATGGATAATGGGGCATCCAGTAGTCAGGATGTTGACACAGGAGGGTTTTAAACTTAGCTAAAAACGAGCTTATCAACACAAATGATGTCAACTGTGAGCTGATTTCCTCATTCAGACTGTGTGACTGTATACGTACCCTTGTGTCCCCTTCAGGCGCCAGAGGGTCGGTCATCCAGGAGCCGAACCTGGATCCTGACGTCTTGATGGTGATGGGGTCGCTGATGCCCGTCAGTTTGCCGCATGCTGCAAAGACAAAAGCAAAGGATGATGGGAGCATCTAGAGCAACACCTATCCGGGGTATTTAGAATAATTCAGAAATCTATTACCGGGGATTCACTTTCATTTACTTCAAATCCAAATGAGTTTGCCTGCAGGATCGAGGCGCCGCTCTCCAGGCTGCCTCTGCCTCTCTCTTTGTGTGATGCACTCGGCAAAGAGGTGCTTATTATTCAGTTCACACTTGCTAATGCCTGTTTCCCCTCTCTGTGTGGATGTGTGAGAAAGTGAGAGGAACAGGGGATAGGGAGAAAAAAAAAAAGGGAGAGCCTCTGTGTGTTCTGCTCCTGTGTGCAGCTTGTAAGCTGCTGTACTGTTAATTAGTGTTGATTGAGGTGTTAATGCGGATTTGACAAACCTAACGCCGGGCTCGGCGGCCCTCGTGACTAAGAGCCGGGCCGGGCTAATGTTCCCTTTCTAATGAGCACAGACGGGGAACGGAGACAGGATTTTTGACCAAATAACAACAAGGGTGCAGCACATGTGCTCATTTTCTGAGGTTATTTCCCCAGGATGGAGGTCAATTACATGATTTTGATGACTTCATCCCATCCTATGAATGTAATGAGTCGTTCTGTTATGCTAATTTAAAAAGTGCTACAGTGGCGATGGCTCATTTCTGGTTTTCATTAGCATCTCTCGCTGCTAGGCGTTGCATCCATTAACCTCTGACTGGAACGCTCATCATCTCTCCTTCTCTGCAACATCTATCATGTTTCTTGCTCTTTTATTGTCGTGAGATGTCATTTTGTCTTCTTTCTTTTATTTCCCTCCGTTTTCTCATCCGTTCTGACACTTCAGTGAGACTCTGCGTGAGTTTTGTGGTTTTCACACCTCAGCGGCGGCTGAGAGACAATCACACGCGGTCACATGAGCGGCGTCTACTCCCTCCAGAGGGGGTCGAGTCCCTTACATAACTCAGAGAGGGATTAGAGCTCTGCCATAATACACTGGACATTGATTTGTTTATTTTCTCCTCTATTCGTAAAGCTTCTATCTTTAGATGACACTACTTTCCCCCCGCCTGCTAGAGAGCCAGCTGATGGATCTGGAGATTCAGACAGGGTCTAATCCTCTTTTGGCCTGAATTTGTACCAGCTAAAGCAGAGGGCGTGGAAACTTAATGACACTGAAATGTGAGGATTTAAATACACAATAAAAAAATGACTTTTTCCGAGGAGCCAGGTTGTTGGATTTATGTTAAAGTGGATTTTACTTTTGGAGTTTCAACCCTATTTTTGGAACAGCTCTGTGGTGTAAAATTTCGATAAAAACAGAATTAAATGGTTTGCATTCACATCTTTTAAACCCTATTTTACTTTTAAATAGTGTTAAAACAACATGTCAGGTGGTGAAAATGAAAAACTGCTGCTTTATAAGGATAGATAGATAGATATATAGATAGATAGATAGATAGATAGATAGATAGATAGATAGATAGATAGATAGATAGATAGATAGATAGATAGATATGAAGATAGATGTGTAGATAGAAAAGTAGAAACAAAGATAGATGTATAGATACAAAGGTAGGTAGGTAGGTAGGTAGGTAGGCAGGTAGGTAGGTAGGTAGGTAGGTTGATTGAGTGATTACAGGCCAAAAGTTTGGAAGCAAGGCCATTACAGGCCGAACAGTTGGGAGTAACTTTAAGTAACTGCAAGAGTCACAACTTCAGTTGTCAAATCACAGTTGGATTATTCACTTTAACTTTTTGGATTTTGAGAGTCTGCATACAGAAATCCTAATAAATCTCAACTACGTTCAAACTATCGCAAAAATGGCTCGAAAGAAGCAACTGAGTAAAGAAACAAAAGTACAGATTTGTACATTGAGGAAAGAAGGATACACAGAAAGAGAAATTGCAAAACGCCTAAAGGTGTTTAACAAAGGAGTCCACTACACTCTGAAGAGACTAGAGGAACCTGGAATTATGATGATAGAAAAAGACCTGGACGAAAGAGAGTAACTACAAAAGCAGAGGATAAAAATAGCATTGTCACCAGTAAGAGAGATCGGCGAAAGACAGCACCACAAATAAGGGAGGAAATCAACATGACAAGGTCAAAACCCATATCTCTGACAACTGTGAAATGACGTTTGAGAAAGGCTGGTCTGAAGGGTTGTGTATCTGCAAAAAACACTACTTCATCCACAGAACTAGAAAAATAGATATGAGTGGGCAAAAGCTCACAAAAATTCGACTCATGATGACTAGAAACAAGTTTGCACTGTTTGGTTCAAAACGCAGAGTCTACGTCCGCAGACAAACTGGTGAACGTCTGAAAGCGCCATGTGTTACACCCACAATTCAGCATGGAGGTGGTAGTTCCATGGTATGGGGATATTTGGCAGGTGATGGAGTAGGAGATTTGTTTGAAGTAAAGGGTATCATGAAGAAGGAACAGTACCACTCCATCCTCCAGCACCATGCTGTTCCATCTGGACTCAGACTTGTAGCTCATAAGTTTGTTTTGCAGCAAGACAATGAGCTCTCTGCCAAGCTCTTTCAGGGTTACCTAGACAAAAAAAGAAGAGGATGGTGTTCTTCAAAACATGGTTTGGCCCCCTCAGTCTCCAGACCTTTCTCCAATTGAGCTTGTGCGGGATGAATTGGATCGATCGGTCAGAAAAAACGCGTCCCACGAATCAGCAATCTCCTTTTAATGAACTTAAGAAAGCTTGGAATGCAATCCCTGGAAAATACCTTAAAAAAACTTGTGGAATGAATGCCTGGTATATGCCAAGCTGTTGTTAAAGCCAGAGGAGGTTACTTTAAAGAAAGCAAAGTCTAACCAACAATAACTCAAATACCTGATAATTATAGTCAAAATGTCTTCTGATGAGTTACTCTTTACACAATAGTCATGTTTATTGTGTTGCAAATTATATACATGAAACTATGATCTTTTTTTGTACAAATCTGATCTTGCTTCCAAACTTTTGGCCTGTAGTGTAGATAGATAAAAAAAAAAGAAAGAAAAGCACCTTATTGTCATGTGAAGCCCTGCAACAAACCTCTTCTTTTAACAACCCTCAAGAAGACCAGATTCTGGGGTTTTAAACGTCCTGTTTTTGCCAGATCAAGGTCTCCTTTCAATGTTTCTAAATGTATGCAGGCAGGCCAGTTCAACACCCAGACCTTTACACTACAGAGCTGGTGTAATCAACCCATGAGAACTTAGGTTTCCCTGTGCCGTAACAGATGCAAACTTTGACCAAATGTCTGGTCCATAATATAAGATGGTTTTCTGCTTCACCTCAGTCCAAGTCAGTGTTAGTTTGCTTTTATTTTATCTCCAAAATCCGTTTGTTAATGTCACAGATTTGCTCACTCTTATCTCTTGTACTTTGGAAAAAAACACATTTTGAAAAACAAAAACTCAACCTGCTCCGTTTTTCACCATCTCATGTACCGCTCATTGTGAATATGTTCAGGGGAAAATATAGAAGTTGGCTGTTTCTCCAGCATGCTGTTAATTGACTGGTCTGACGCCTACGCCGAGAAGCGCGAAAACACGTTTAAAATAACAGAAATACAGAAATAATCACTCCTCCTCCTCTGGGGGCTTGTTTGCTTTTGTCGCTGATGTAGACGTTTCTGTATGGATTTCAACCTGGATTATAAGCCGCTAAAACTCCTTACAGGTGCTCTAAAGTCTTTGAAAACTTACTTGCTTACCAGCGTAAAAGCAGCACTCTTGTCATAACCGATAACCCCTGAGCTTTTTGTCCCCCTGGTTGGAGGTAAATGGAGTTTATAGTCAATTTCTTCAGTGGAAATTATGATGATAAATGCTCGTCAATGACTTGTTTTTCCTTGAGGAGACAATGACAAACTTTGGTTAATGAGACGAGACTAATGTGCTCATGGTGGACTGTTGAATATTCAAAATCCTGTCCAGCACTGCTGTGTCTGCAAGTACATTCAGGGACAGTCGTAAAAGTGCACTCCGGCCATTTGGAACAAACGTGCGAGTGTTTACTGTACTTTTATTTAAAGGCGCAGACATAAATATTCTGATAGTGACCACAAGACGATGCTTCTTTACTTGGCGTAAGCACAGCCCTCTAAACTACCACATTCATCTGAGGGTAATGCAGTTGCTTTAGATCAGCAGGGACAGAACAGCAGCATTGCATTGTGGGAAAGTAAACAAGCAACTAGTTGAGACTGGTAATAAATCAGAATTTCGCCACATTTGTTTTCCTTTTAAAGTCCATCTTTACACGGTAATACCTCCGGCAGCTGCCCCCCTTAAAGTGTGCGTACAGTCTGTGCACAACTAGGTCAGACTACATTGTCATTACATTGAGCTCCATGACCTCTGACCCTGCTGCCTACACATCTGTCAGTCTGCAGCACATCTGCCTGTCTCTCTCTCTCTTTACAGCTCAGTTCAAGCTTCATGCTGCAGACGGTTTAGCGTCTGAGCAGCCAAATAAGCACGTTTGCTTATCCTTTAAAGTGTGACCTGATGCGGTCGAACATTATGGTATTTTTGGCCTTTGGCGTTCGGCGCACACGCATTTGGACGCAAGTCTTTCCTGGCAAACTGTAAAGTATGATATTGATCTTTGCAGGCGTACACTGTAATACTCACTACGCCTACACATGCCTGCTCCTGTTAGGCTTCATTAGCTAATATGGCCAATACTAATTAATGTATTTGAGACGTGTCAGATTTATTTATATACTTGAACATGAGACTTCTTATTCGTTGGAGGTTGTTTGCAGAGAGGTGCAGCACCTTGTTATGATATTTTGACAGATAATCTCACCCTGCACTGAGGAAATAGGCGGTGAAAAACAATAGTCGCAGGATTTTCTGTGCCGGTATGACTTCTCCTGCTTCATTCATCAGCTCTTTGGCGTAAAGGGTCTGGATTTGCCTGGAGCCCTCCGCGCCTCCATGTTGCTGGGCCACGACACGGGGTGATTTATTTATTTGATTATTGCCCAGCAAGCTGGCATGTCCTCTTGATCGATGGCCATTGTGTCCTAGCAGCCGCCGGGGCTGTTAGTCTCTCCGGCACAAAACAGCTTGAAGGACAGCTCTGCAGGGACTCCACTTACTCTCTTTCACTTTCCCTGCTCGCCTTCACTTTGTCACTCCTTCTCCTTCTCCCTCAGCGCCTTCTATCAATTCCCCCTGTCGCTCTTTCTATTACCCAAAACCCAAGTTTCTGCTGCCCTCTCCGGTTTTCCTCTTGTTCCCCCTGCTGTTGTTGATCTGCGGATGCAAATTTTGCTGACTGACCTTCGCGGGTTTAATCTCAATAAGGGGGAGTGTACAGGAGCGAATCTGTGCGCGAGTGCCTCTGCAGTCGTGTGAAGATGAAAGCGGTCGCCACCCTCTGTTCTACCTCAGCCGCTCCCACGCTGAGTGACCTCGCCTTTATCTTGTCTGATCACACACACTCACACACACTCACGGTGAAGTTCCTCCTGCAGTCGACTGCTCTATCACGTCACCGCTGTAGTGATTTGGAATGAGCCTCACACGGTCGCAACAAAATATATGTAGCGGTTGAAATGAGCCTCACAAGGCCGTACCAAAATAGTACTGTAGCGATTGGAATTTATAATAAATGTCTGAAGATTAATAATCTCAAATTATGACATTTATGCACTCGTTGAAAGGGGCACCACCCACCCTTAATGGTGGGAAAATAAAGAAAACAAAAGTTTAATTCCGAAATCAAACATCAAGTCAGTTTTAATTAATCAGTCTTAATTAATCAGTCTCATATCTTAAGTCGAAATTCTAATTTCAGGGACTCCACTTCTGGAAGAACACTAACAGTCAAGAACTTAGAAAAATAATGATCTGTTTATTACAGGATAAATGATGGTACAACACACATGCAATAAATGATGATAAGATAATGAAGATAAATAATAATAGGTGAATAAATAAAGATTCTGAGTCAGGCTAGGAGCACTAAAGTTAATGATAGTGAGTGAATATGCGCTAACATATTAACCTACACTAACTTTGGTGTCGAGATAAACTCGGATGTGGATTTGGAGGAATCTAAGATCACCAGAAATAGGTGGATATCTGAGTTATGAACGCATGAGACAGCACCAGCCCTCTCTGGAGCTCTGGAGGTTTGCATACTTAAGTGAGACTGGTCCTTGGAGAAGATGGAGCAGGTTCCGAAGGTCCGGGGCTACTGGCGGTTCGAGCGGTTCAGCTCAGAAGACGACTGAAGTCAGCCGAAGGATGAGCCAGGAGTTGCAGCACTCGGGCCCGAAGCAAAGCCAGCGCCTGTGGATCCTGTGGATGCTCGTTTGGGTACTTCTTTGGTCTCACTCAAAAACTCTGGCACAGAGGATGACCTGGGCCTGCTGGGTTGCGTTCAGAGGTGACTTTGAAATCACGCAGAAAACTCAGAAAAACGAGGCTCGAAGAGCAGAGAAAACTTTCAAAAATGGCTTCGCGAAATTAAAGAAAAATCAATCAAAGGCTTAATCTTGAATTGCTATGCGCACAAAAAGTTGAAGTTTCAAAACTTGAACTAAGACGATGTTAAAGAAAAATCAACGTGAATCAACACGTGGCGTAAAACTTAGAAGACTAAGAAAAAGTTCTAAGAGAAAACAAAGAAACGCACCACAGAAGGGTGTGGACAGAAGAGAAGGGGCATAAGAGCCGGGGACAAGAGAGTCAGCAGAAGAGCAGAAGCATAAGAGAGATAAGAGAGTAAGAGAGATAAGAGAGCGTAAGAGAGTGAGCAACCCCACTTCACTGGTTTTATCTTCTCACACTGGGAGTGGCTGAGGAGAAAGAGGAGGGGGTCATCGGGTCTCTGATTATTTGATCTAACTTATTCTTTTGGCTGGTAAAAGAGTCAGATCTGATACTCACTCACTATGATTAACATCATTGAATGCTTGGTTTCATGATAAATAATTTGATACTAAACACATATGAATGAAGTGTAGGATCACATCAAACTTCTCATTATGTTTTAAGTATCACATTGAACATGCTAAATTACTCTGAAATGAAACAGATAGTAACACATGTAAACTGTGAACAACAAAAGAGTAAATACATGTGAATGAACTTCATGATTAATAATGGATTCTAAATACTCACATTCAGATTATTCAATGACATTATAACCACCTAATGGTTAAAAACCCTAAATAAACAACTAAAATATAAACCAAACATTTCTAAACTATTTCTGTTACCTAGAGTTAAGTTATGATCCATAGTCAATAAATTTAACTCTTAAAAGTTCATGAAACAGTCTGAAAAGCTGTTGGTCTAAAGAAACTAAAGAGCGATAACTCGGCTTCTGGAGCACATAGAAAAACGGGAAACATCTCATTTTAACACAAATTTCATGATTAGACAGATTAGTACATTGCTGAATGCATAAGATGTCAGGATCAGTCATTTGTATTCTTTCACCAAAGGAATGTAGTCTTTATCAGTGCATGGTCGAGCAGGGTTTTACGACCGAGGTCTGGAGGTCAGTGTCCCCCCTTATCCTAGGGACCGTATGTCCACACACTTTAAGACGCTAAATCTCAAATGGGAGATCTGGGTTAAGACGTTAATGTTTATTTAGATGGTCAGCAAATGGAGTCAGTTTGAAAGGTAATAAAAACTCTGTCTCTGTTCTCCGAATTGACCAATCCTGAAGAGTCAGAGGTTTAGTCAACCTCCGGTTGGGTCACTTATTTAACCTGAAAGTGCAAACACGTCTGGAAAGATTTATATCCTGTTTCCTGGGACCAGATAAGGAAACTTTCCTGTGAGGAATGTGTGGGTTTCACACCCAGGGTTGTCTTGATTGCTACAGTCCCCCCTTCGTCACGGTGGTCCTGTCCATGGAGCATCGGGACGACGAGTAGACAACCATGAAGCAGCAGCAGCAGCAGCAGGTGTATGCAAATAGGACTGATGCGTCTCGTCATCACTATGTAAATCACAAGTACTGCTTTGAGATAAAATTAAGCATGCATTAAGCTATCAAATAAAATCGTCTAGTTGTTAGACTTTTCTCAGTTAACTATTGGTAGACTAATGTGAAAGAAAATCTCCTAATTTTTAGTATTAATGAGATTTAGAAAAGCACTCTTTAGTCTGAATGCTAACTGGATCTAAAGCTATAGCTGTTTTTCATGCTTGCTGGAGAAGTCTGAAAGTTCCATTTCAGTTTCAAAAATGGTTAAGACTTAGGTGGAAAAGAAATGTCTGCTATAGACATATTAACCATCTGTGTATGAGCATAGTCAACCTGAATCACAAACATCAAAAGTTTACTGCACAGAGTTTCTCTTAAACTTTGTCTGTGAAACTTGGGGATGATGCTCTTATCGGTTTGACTAATTATCTGCTGTTGAGTCTGAAATTTGTCAATCTGAGTCTTAAGGACAGAAATTTCAGGTTTTAATCTGTTCATGGGATCTTTGACAGCTGACAAGCTGACCATATTGACAGAGGAGAGACAAATGCTAACAAAGAAAGCAGCAACTGGGATTGCAGTCATCAATGTATCACCACAGCATTTAGATATCTTATTGGAGTCATTTAGCTTTGGCTAGGTGACTTCTGCTTTCGCAGGACTCACACCTTCATGACTCCGCAGTGTTAATCTCAGTGGTTAGCTGAGTAGTCATGTTTATTCACCTTCAAAGTGGAGGAAACCGATTGAGGTGGATAATAAGATCGTCGTTTCTGAGAGTGTGATTTACTCTGATTCTGCCAGTCATTCACCCCACTTTGGCGGTGTTGATGGTTTTTCCTTTGTCTGGGATAAAACCCACCGTGACGGGAGTCTGAATAACAACAGTTGGTCTCAAAGTTTACCTGGCATTGGTCTGGGTCAGACCTGGGCCTTGGTGTGTAACTTTGACCTTTGTGAGTTTGTTGAGGTCGAAAAGGTTTTGGAGGCCTGGTTAACCACTCATTTGGAGGCTTATCGGAGCCTGAAAAAACACAGTCTGAAGCTTCGTTCAGCTCCATGGGCAGTGATTTTGTCTCCATAGCCAAGAGAGTAACGGGCTCTGCTTTCTTAGCCAAAGTTTGTCGTTGTTTGGCAAAACCTTTTACAGCAAGTTCACGAAGCTGTCGGCTAGTCGAAGTGTTTGGACAAGCTAAGACGCCAAGGTGATGACTGGTGGTAGGGTGGAGGTTCTGGACGAACAGCGTTTTGAAGTTCAAGTCCTCCTCCATTTCTGGTTCATTTCGGGAACCAAAGTAAGCTTCGCGTAAGCGGTTGTAATAATGTTGGGGAGATTCTGATCTCCCTTGTTTAATAGACAGAGCAGCAGAAAGGCCTGTCTGGGTCAAATGATCAGAAAACTCTTCGATTAATGCTTGGCAGAGCAAGTCATAATTATTTCTGACATGATAAGGCTGTCGTTCAAGGAAACTGCTAACTTCTCGACTTGACGTTGCCTTAATAAGGTAGATTTTGTCATCAGTGGTTGCACCTGGAAATTTCCGCAGGTAAAAGTCAATGTCTTTCAAGTAGGTGCAGGTGTCAGTAGCACCTTGGTGCTCAGGTTCAAAGCGTGCTATGTTGCGAGCAATTTTGTCAAGATCCCTGTCTGAGGGAAATGGTAAGAAGCCATCATGAGGAGGAGAGTAGGACTCTTGGTTTAAGGATGACCTCTCAGGGTCAAGCAGGGTCCTGTCATGATGCTGAGAGAGATACTTAAGAGTTGGTTTGGAAGGAAGTGATGGCGCTCTCTCAGGAGGCTGATCACCTATCATTTCTTCAAGAAACGTTTGCTCCATGCGTTCTCTTTGGGCTCGACCCTGACTGGAGGGAGCATTGTAACTCTCTTTGGGCATCTTCAAGTTCTTTGTCTGTCTTTTCTTGCCGTTCTTGACAAAGAATTAACTGTCTTTGAGCTATCTGGAGCTGGTGCTGTAAGGTAGAAGTTTGCTTCTCCTTAACTTCAAGAGCTTCAGCACGCACTTTGACCAGTGCTTTCAAAGCTTTTACATCTTCTGTTGCTTGCTCTAGTAGGGATTCTGACTGTATCAGATCCTCTGTGGTCTTAGCAAGCTGCTTATTCATGTCATCAAGTTCTTTCTCCTTTTTGTAAAGGTTTTCATTAAGTCTTTCAATCTTGTCTTTGAGATCAAGATTTTCTTCATGACTTATCAGTGAGGGAAGCTTTGACGCTTCACATCTGGCACTGTGTTTTTCTAAAACACTTAAAGACTTCTTAGTCTCCTCTAGCGTCTTTTTCAGAGCGCTGTTTTCATCTTTTTGCGCCTTTATCTTTGCTAAAGCGCATTCCAGCAAGTAGTCTTTATACTCAAGCTGAGAAGACATCATGACAGACATGCATCTAGTGAGCTCTTTGTCACGAAGTGTCGTGGTTAAGGCTATTTCCAGTAAGTCAGCCATTTCATCCTCCGGATTGGAGGGTTTGGCCTTATGAATCTTAGTCATGTACTGAGATATCAGCTGACTAGTTAAGTTTGCTAACACTGTGTGTATGTCCCTCAGGGGGTCTCCCTGGCTGGACTCTTTTGTGTTAGGCATGTTTGGTTTTGGTAAAGAGGAGCAGGTGGTTGGTTGATGAGTTTGAGTTGACTTAAAATGAAAGGAAGAAGCACAATATCAAATTAAGTGAGTTAATCGACTTAATTTATCAATGCTTGATAAAGAGGAAGAGCCTATCTGAGTAGATATCTAATGGAGAGAAAAATAACATAAAGTTAACTTCATTTCAATGAAAATTGAAATAAAACAAGGTGAAATAATGTTAAATTAAATTTAACATCAGATACAGAACCATTGAATAAAGGGTTCAAATTGTCTCCGTGTTGCAGAGATCAGCAAAGCTTAAATAAACTGCCTGATGCAGTTGGATGAATCTGAAACCAATGAAATTGTCAATTTAAGGAATTAACTCTGAAGTTAATTCACAAATCGCAATAAAGCCAAAGATTCAACTACCCAATTCATCTGAAATGGTAAAATAGATTTCAAATATTAATTAATTTGTTCATTAATTAATTAATCTTATGAGGAGGGTTAATACATTCATGTATTATAGGGAACAGTAAAACTGCTCAATGGTGTGATAAGTAACAACAGATCAGGTGATTGATTCAAGGAGTTACTTTATCAATACATTATGTAGGCTCTTATAACAAAGATAAAAATCAAAAATCAATGATCAATGATTTAGAATAAGCACATCAAACTTCATCAACCAAGTCAATCACTTGAGTTATGTCTGTAGAGTGTTACACACTGACTACAGAGAGGCAGTACAGCTGGCTGATACTGCAGGCAGATAATAGCAGTGTTAGCTCAATACCAAAAGCAACCATGTGGGGCAGTATGGAGTTGGGGTAACTGCACAAGCTCAACACAAGTGGAGAAGAAGAAGAGAAGAGGAAACAGTCATCCAACTAGCCTCTTGTGGCTGTGAGGAGTTGGGAAGTGTGCAGGAAGGGGCCTTTAGGCTCTGCCTCCTTGAAGGGCCTTATCTGCTTAAGGCCAAATGGTCAGTCTCTCCACTGACAACAAAGGGTTAACATTTCACAGCAGGCTGCGTCTGCACCCTCAAACATAGAACTTTACACCATCTGCTCAGGCAGATTGGTTCAATAAAATCATTTACAGGAACAAGAATCAAAGTGACAAATCCTTAAACAGCAGATTCAACTGCAAACTTAAAATTACAAATGCGGCGATTTGTGAACACAAATTTTGTTTGAATTCAATCAAACAACAACCTCCCACTGTTACAGTGGTTTCCTGTGACAGGTAGTTAATCGGTCAGGGGAAAGGAGGAAATCTGAATCCCATATAGTTACTAGAACTTCGTAGCAGACTATAGAGACAAGAATCAAAGTGACAAATCCCTCAACAGCAGATTTAACTGCAAACTTAAAAATCACAAATGCGGCGATTTGTGAACACAAATTTTGTCTGAATTCAATCAAACAACAACCTCCCACTGTTACAGTGGTTTCCTGTGACAGGTAGCTAATCTGTCAGGGGAAAGGAGGAAATCTGAATCCCATATAGTTACTAGAACCTCGTAGCAGACTACAGAGACTTCAGGGGCTTGAAACCACAGCTCGGAGCATCGCGAACACTGGGTTCAGCCAAAGGCCTTAAATACAAGCGTACGGCGACGCAACAATCGTGCACTTAAATATTGGACAGTCTAGACAGAGCAGAAGAAGCAGTCTCACTGCTACTCAGAACAACATTTCACGCTGTCCAGCTCAAACACAGACTACAGGCATGTAGTACAAAAGTGTGTGAAACACAGAGCATAAAGGTTTTATGCATAGATCAGGAAAACATCAGAACTTAGTCAAGCAACTTCAGCAAGCATAGCATTTATTGTGATTAAGTCTAAAATAGCCTGGAAATAAGTTTCTCTCATCAATTTGGAAGGCTAAGTTTTAGGTTGTCTGTTAGTATCCAGAAGTTTTGTTTGAAACGCCTCACGCAGGGGCACCAAAATATATGTAGTGATTTGGAATGAGCCTCACACGGTCGCAACAAAATATATGTAGCGATTTGAAATGAGCCTCACAAGGCCGTACCAAAATAGTACTGTAGCGATTGGAATTTATAATAAATGTCTGAAGATTAATAATCTCAAATTATGACATTTATGCACTCGTTGAAAGGGGCACCACCCACCCTTAATGGTGGGAAAATAAAGAAAACAAAAGTTTAATTCCGAAATCAAACATCAAGTCAGTTTTAATTAATCAGTCTTAATTAATCAGTCTCATATCTTAAGTCGAAATTCTAATTTCAGGGACTCCACTTCTGGAAGAACACTAACAGTCAAGAACTTAGAAAAATAATGATCTGTTTATTACAGGATAAATGATGGTACAACACACATGCAATAAATGATGATAAGATAATGAAGATAAATAATAATAGGTGAATAAATAAAGATTCTGAGTCAGGCTAGGAGCACTAAAGTTAATGATAGTGAGTGAATATGCGCTAACATATTAACCTACACTAACTTTGGTGTCGAGATAAACTCGGATGTGGATTTGGAGGAATCTAAGATCACCAGAAATAGGTGGATATCTGAGTTATGAACGCATGAGACAGCACCAGCCCTCTCTGGAGCTCTGGAGGTTTGCATACTTAAGTGAGACTGGTCCTTGGAGAAGATGGAGCAGGTTCCGAAGGTCCGGGGCTACTGGCGGTTCGAGCGGTTCAGCTCAGAAGACGACTGAAGTCAGCCGAAGGATGAGCCAGGAGTTGCAGCACTCGGGCCCGAAGCAAAGCCAGCGCCTGTGGATCCTGTGGATGCTCGTTTGGGTACTTCTTTGGTCTCACTCAAAAACTCTGGCACAGAGGATGACCTGGGCCTGCTGGGTTGCGTTCAGAGGTGACTTTGAAATCACGCAGAAAACTCAGAAAAACGAGGCTCGAAGAGCAGAGAAAACTTTCAAAAATGGCTTCGCGAAATTAAAGAAAAATCAATCAAAGGCTTAATCTTGAATTGCTATGCGCACAAAAAGTTGAAGTTTCAAAACTTGAACTAAGACGATGTTAAAGAAAAATCAACGTGAATCAACACGTGGCGTAAAACTTAGAAGACTAAGAAAAAGTTCTAAGAGAAAACAAAGAAACGCACCACAGAAGGGTGTGGACAGAAGAGAAGGGGCATAAGAGCCGGGGACAAGAGAGTCAGCAGAAGAGCAGAAGCATAAGAGAGATAAGAGAGTAAGAGAGATAAGAGAGCGTAAGAGAGTGAGCAACCCCACTTCACTGGTTTTATCTTCTCACACTGGGAGTGGCTGAGGAGAAAGAGGAGGGGGTCATCGGGTCTCTGATTATTTGATCTAACTTATTCTTTTGGCTGGTAAAAGAGTCAGATCTGATACTCACTCACTATGATTAACATCATTGAATGCTTGGTTTCATGATAAATAATTTGATACTAAACACATATGAATGAAGTGTAGGATCACATCAAACTTCTCATTATGTTTTAAGTATCACATTGAACATGCTAAATTACTCTGAAATGAAACAGATAGTAACACATGTAAACTGTGAACAACAAAAGAGTAAATACATGTGAATGAACTTCATGATTAATAATGGATTCTAAATACTCACATTCAGATTATTCAATGACATTATAACCACCTAATGGTTAAAAACCCTAAATAAACAACTAAAATATAAACCAAACATTTCTAAACTATTTCTGTTACCTAGAGTTAAGTTATGATCCATAGTCAATAAATTTAACTCTTAAAAGTTCATGAAACAGTCTGAAAAGCTGTTGGTCTAAAGAAACTAAAGAGCGATAACTCGGCTTCTGGAGCACATAGAAAAACGGGAAACATCTCATTTTAACACAAATTTCATGATTAGACAGATTAGTACATTGCTGAATGCATAAGATGTCAGGATCAGTCATTTGTATTCTTTCACCAAAGGAATGTAGTCTTTATCAGTGCATGGTCGAGCAGGGTTTTACGACCGAGGTCTGGAGGTCAGTGTCCCCCCTTATCCTAGGGACCGTATGTCCACACACTTTAAGACGCTAAATCTCAAATGGGAGATCTGGGTTAAGACGTTAATGTTTATTTAGATGGTCAGCAAATGGAGTCAGTTTGAAAGGTAATAAAAACTCTGTCTCTGTTCTCCGAATTGACCAATCCTGAAGAGTCAGAGGTTTAGTCAACCTCCGGTTGGGTCACTTATTTAACCTGAAAGTGCAAACACGTCTGGAAAGATTTATATCCTGTTTCCTGGGACCAGATAAGGAAACTTTCCTGTGAGGAATGTGTGGGTTTCACACCCAGGGTTGTCTTGATTGCTACACCGCGATTGAACTTAAAGTGAAGAAACACCGACATGGCTGCCAGGTGGCGAGAGCAGCAAATGGATAAACGTGTACGCGCAGACAAAGAGGATGAGATACAGAAGAGTAAAATCTTGTGTCATTTTTCTCTCAAGAAGAAGAAGAAGAAGAGCTTTTGTACCAGAAAACTTCTTTCTGTCATCTTGGACAGTGAATAATTCCAAACAGGAACACAATATACCCGTGATGTGCTGCATGGAAGTGTTTGTGCTCTCGTAATACATCTTAGTCACTGTGGTGTGGGTGTGCATCTATTAGCACTGTGGGCTGTGACAGAGGTGTGAAGAGATTCAGACAGGGGCTAAAAGCACAGATAAGACTGTGATCAGAACTTGTAAAATGAGCAGGCAGTAAAACCTCTTTTACTCTGCATGCTGCTCATTTGGGTACATTTGCACTCCATTTGATATAATTCATGCCTCGTCATGTGTGTAGATCTCCCATTCATTTTATCACAGTATAGGAACAGAACTCGACTTTTTGAGTTAGCCCTATTTTTACACATTTGGAAACTGTTGTTTTAAAAGTTCTTGATTCCCCCTGTAAGATCCTGTCAGCTGACTGCTACAAAATGGACTGTGAGTTGCTGTGTATCTTAACCATTCGGGGCAAGTGTGTCTGCAAAAACAGCTTCTTTAAGGCTCAGGTTGTGGGTCCCAGAGTGACATGTAATTGGACAAAGATGGCCTGTTAGAGACAAATATGTAACAATGACCCAAAATGTTACTAAAAAAAAAATGTAATTAAGGCCAAAATATTACAAAAAAAAATGTTATTAAGCCCGGAAAGTTACAAAAAATTTTAATTAAGCCAAAATTTTACAAAAAAAATGTAATTAAGCCCGGAATGTTACAAATTTTTTTTTTAGTTAAGCCCAAAATGTTACAAAATAAATGTAATTAAGCCTGAAATGTATTAATTGGTCAATAATGTAACAAACGTGTTGAGCACGAAATGTAATAAAAATGTAACAAAACCCAAAATGTAACAAGTTGCTACATTTTGGGCAAAAAAATGTAGCAATGTGTTACATTATTGACAAATTAATACATTTCTGGTTTTATTAAATTTTTTTAAATAACTATTCGGGTCTTTTTACGATAGTTTTATCAGAGTGAAATGTGTGGGTTTTTTTTTTTTATTAAACCGAAACCAGTCTTATAACCCTCCTTTCGAAGCCACCAAACTCCATTGATATTTATTGATATTATTGATACTCCACAGATATTTAAGTCTTGTTTAGACATTGTTTGAAGAGGAAATCTATGCTTATAGTCCACAAAGGTATGCAAATATGACTGAAAACGCTAGCATAGTCACGCCAGACCAGTAGTTAATGGTAGGGAATAGGGAAGTGCGTGTTTAGTGGACTAAATAATAATTGTTACCCTTGAGTGTCTTCATCGAAATAACTAACCAGTTCAATGGATTCTTGACGTTTGCTATCACTTTAAGCCCAAAGTCCTCATCATATAACGTGTATAAGCTGTCATACTGCCACCTGCCACTAGCAAGAGCCGTTCCTTAATTATGGCTTGTGCCAAACTACAGAACTAGCTGCCTCAGAGCGTCACTCCCATGAGGTATAGCTTTGTAATGAAGTAATACTACAGGCCTACATATAACTGAGCGGCCAATGTAAACAAGAAGATGGTGGCAAACTGGTAACTATGTCTGGATAGTCACTTTATTGGCAAAGCAAATCTACGACTCAATCTACTCCTGGTGGCTTCAAATGGAGTGATAAAATTTATGGTACAAAGGAGTTTTATATTACCTTGACAAAAAGGTCCTTCTGTCTCCTTTTTTAAATTTGTCTAAAACTGAATTACAAATCTAGCCTTTCATTTAGTCAGAGAATATGAATTACACCCGAGTTGGATGAGACAACTCATCCCCTGATACACTTGGTTCTTCTCCTTTTGTTAGGAGGTGTTTTGCTACTGTCTGCCTGGAACAGTCTACAGGAGCACTCCCAAAACTCTCTTTACTTAAGAGATATTAAGACCAAACATATCTAAAAATGGGAGTCTATGATTTAATAACAAAACTCAGGTTGGTGCAAACATCATACGACCCACACTCTAAAGAAAGCTGGAGGAGGCTGTTTGTGCCGGGCTGTTACATCTCTTGTTTTTCTTTAACCACTCCTTATTATGAAAGAGCCAATTAGACTGAGGCTCATTTTGACCCTTTTCTTGATTTTTTTCACCCTTTTAAATCTTGAAGATCAGTTTCGTAACACTTTGTTTGAACCTTTAACCTCTAAGACCCTTTTTTTTTAAAGCTTCAGTGAGAAACTTTCAGTTTGGGTCAAATTTGGCGCCCCCTGTGGACAAAGCAGTTTTGCTTTCCTTGTCCTCTACGTGCATCTCATCCTGCTGATTTTTGACAGTCAAATGTCTCATTTATTGTGAATATTTGTAGTGAAAATGGCTGTTTCTCTGGCTGACACCTACCCCTTCACACCAGTTTAAAATGAGTAACTGCAAACCCTGATTTTATCCCTGGTGGACTTGTTTGCTTTTGGATAACATGAAAAGGTATCAATTCAAATTTCAGTCTATTTTATACATGTTAAAAAACTTCTCATAGGAGCTTTAATATCAACATTTTCCTCAAAAATAGAAGTGGCAACACTTGCTCTGAACATTTCCCTTTGCCTCTTTCAAGTTTAGTTTCAAAATAGTTTTCCTGTTAGGGCCCTAAAACACTAATAACATCCAACTTACAATAATATAAACCAGATATGAATTTAAGCCTTTATAGCCAAGTTGGGCTCTGAGGATTGAACGCGATTACCTTCTTTTTTCCCACAGAAGTGTGGATCCTCAGTCCCTGGAGATACAATAATGTAGCTCCATTTCGATGAGTACATGCACCTTCTAAACTTCATTTTTGGCTCATAAGATACCAAAAGCTAAGTTCACCTCTTAGCGAGCATGTACCAATAGAAAGACTCAAACAGAGTAAATGATGGGCGTGTTGTAAAATGTATTAAGCCATCAGAGTATTGCAGACACACAGAATGACCCCTGTTGCGTTTTGACTGATGTAAATGTGCCTGAGCAACTCTCTCTGGTCGGTCACAGTGGAAGTGTTGCATGCCCGTGTTTGCAGCAAAGTGTGTGTTAACAACTTTCTGTGCCTACCTAATTTTTGCATGCATGCTCGGAGTCTCTCCTCAAGATTTGACACTCTGTTGTGGAGCTCCTCGTAGTCATAGGCCCCCATCTCCTCCTGAAGTTCGCTTAGAACTGACGTCAGCTCCTGGACCTCCTCCTTAAACTGCAATACCAATTTGGCATCGGCTTTGTACTCCTCCAACACTGGTATCAACGGTCTAATCTCGTCCATTTTCGTTTTTATGGCCTGAAAGGATTAGAATGAGCTCGGTTGAGTGTCATGCGCGACAAAAGGAGACTGTCCATAAAAGAAAAAAGAAAAGAAAAGGAAATAAAAACACCTGTCTGAGCCTGGCTACTCTGACTCTAACCTGCCTTTTCACTAACATGAAGACCCCCTGTTTGTGTCCATGTTCAGTGTTTTCATGTGTGAACAGCTGTGGTGCAGGTGTGTGTCTTGAGCAGACAAACCCGGAAATTATTCTCCACCCCGCTGGACGAGCAGAGCAGGGGGCTCCGTCCCGGCGGCGAGCAGCCGTTAAAAAGCAAGCCCTCGGTACACCGACAACAATTGGGAAAGCTCTTTATTGGTCATCATCGTTTAAAATGCAACATCGTATTAAGGGTTACATGCTTTTACATGTCACACACAACAAAGTGTCTCGAATTTACGTCTATAGTTTTACGCAGAGATTTGTTGAGTAACCAAATATGCATAGACAAAAGCCAAAGGAAAAGAAAATGAATAACAGCAATTGATAATAATAATAATAATAATAATAATAATAGTAATAATAATAATAATAATAATAATATTAATAATAATGTATTTACGATTGAAAAAAGCTTTTAGATGGAAAACTTTGACAGCAGTAACTTTGACAGCAGTAACATGCAGGAAGAGATCAGTGGTGGGTTGGTTTGGGAGAGGGGTGGGGTTTCTTAGTCTTAATGGTGCTAAAAAGGTAAAATTAACTGTTTGATGCCCAAATGCTCTCAGTACTGTGGCCCAGTTCAGGGGAATCTGGAATTGACCTGCCTCTTCTTCCCTGTGGCTCTCTTTACATGTCTTAAAGTTAGCCCTGCAAGCAAGAAAATGACAAACTGTTGACAGGGGCTGGAGCTTGCTAACCTAGCTAACAGACACACAAACAAACAAACAAACAACTGCACACACACTTAGTATTTTTGCACTTAGGACAGGTTACAGACAATTGCAGGCATGCACTGAATGTGGCGTTGGATGCATGGGGGGTTTGGAGCATGCACAAGGTGACAGGAGCACAGTACAAACATGAAGCTACTTATAAGTCCTGCAGGAGTTGACAAAGCCTCTGTGACACAACCAACTGTTTTTAAGACTATTCTTTGAAGCCTTAACCTAGCGGTTTTTGTTGTTGCCATCTTTGTCTTAAGTATCTTTTTTTGTAGTGCATTTTTGCCTTTATTCAACAGGAAGGCTGAAAAAAGACAAGAAATGCAGAAGAAAACATGCAGCACAAAATCGAGGACAAGAGTCGAACTAACAAACTTCTAAAATGCTGGCTGCACACTTTGACCGCCAAGCTAAACCAGGACCCAAAGCTATTATTGTCTTGAATTTTGGAGCCAAAAGTGACCAAGATGGGGCGGAAAAGCATTGGTTGGTTCCCATCATGGTTGACATGTTGCTGTGGTGGCATCTTGTCAATTGAAGGTAGCCGAGCCCTAAAGCAAGAACTGCTTCTTTTAAATTCCACCTAAAAAGGGACCAGTATTTTCCCCAGGACCTTTCAAGCTTACTTAAAACTCACAATCAGGACTTTTAACTCTTTAAAACAAGCTTATCAGGGATGTTGGTTTGTTTTCTTATCTGGTTGCACATGAGCACAACCTCTTTTGCAATCAATGCAATCACAGCCTGAAACAAATGTAGAGTAAAAACCCTCCTGCATAACCTCTACTTTTTAATCAAGAGGCTTAATTCTCCTCTTATATGCAGTCGATGCAAAGAAATAAACTGAGATCTCGAAAGTGGTGGAAAATTTTGACAAATATGACTCAATCTTGAAGCCCTAAAATGATTGCATACACTGATCCTACTGTGTTTTTAACAGCTGTAGTATTTTATACTTAGTATTCTGTGACTTTTGTTTTAATTATGAACCAACAAGGGATAGAAGCTTTATATGAGCCATAGCTATAAACTAGTGGTCGACCCATTACAATTTTAACCGGCTGATACAGATAATGAGAGAGCAAGTCAGCCAATGGTCAATACCTAATCATACTGTTGTTTTTTTTCTTTTCTATCGAGATTAAAAAGTCAAGTATACATCCATTATTTCATCATGCTAAAATCAAATATTTATGGGTATCTTCTATAGTTTTCTGTATTGAAAAGTTTGTAATTAATTTAGAGAACATAACTGTGATATCGGCTGATGTAATGCTGATAACTAAAACTGTCTCCTCTAGAAATCTACATGCATAGCAGCTACTATGATGCAATGCCTCATTTATTTGTCCCTGGTAAATAAACAAGTAAATAAATGTATATAAAAAAATCTGACAGAAAAAATATCCCTGCGTGTGTTTTCGCAACATTTGGCTCACTAATGTTAGCAGCTGTCACCAACTCTAAAGCCTTCAACTGAGGGCCAATTTCCTCAATATGTAAAATGACAACAAAGTGCCTTAAGTGCTTTTAATGATAAGTTAATATTGGCTAATTGTCTAGCATAAATAAACAAAATTATTACATTTAGAAACTTAATTCTAGTTTGCTGATTTATGCCAAATTTTTGTCTCGGAAATTTTTTTTTCTTCATTAACAGTTACTTTTTAATTTCACTTTTGGCTTCAAAAAAATGTTAATTTCATTAATAAATGTAAAAAATAATGCTTCTCAAAAATCACTGATTGAAAACGACATATTGTGACAAAAAGAGGCATTCAAGCACAAGTTCTAACAGTTAAAGCTCCTGTGTGCAGCATTTAGCTTGTGGCGATTTTGTCGCCCCCTGTGGACAAAGTGATAAGTGGCCAGTTCTGTTTGACAAATTTCCCTTTGATTTTAACAGTCACAGATATCACTCACTGTGAATCTTTGCCAGAACAAATGTAAAACCAAGTCTCTGTCTTGGACTGACACCTACCCTGCGGCAGTGTTCACAGTCATTAAATATAGCAGCATTTAAAAACTGTCAGTCCTGTTGCTGATGGTCTGGTTTGCTTTTGTGGGTCTTAAAGCAGCAGCAGTTTAAATTTAAGCCAGTTTTGAAGTCAGCTAAAACTCCCCACGGGAGCTTTAAATGACACCCTTCCCCACCTGATTTATTGTCAAATCAGATATGATGAAACGTGTGTTCCAAGTGAAGACAGACATGTTGGTTTTTACTGTGCAGGTTAAGACTCTAAGGTCCCTCATACAGACATGCTCATTATAATGATGTAAAATATTTTAATTTATTGAGGTTTCTATTGTGTTTCAATGTAAATGAAGTGGTTGAATATGAACAACCTCTTAATTTATGCACAGATCATGGATTTCTTGAAATGGGGTGTAGGGATTTGGGCAGAAATCGTCCACAGTGGGAACACACAAACACACAATGGGTCAGGCTGTGTCTAATGGGCTTCCAAGCAGCTATGATCAAATGGGCTGTTGGGTTCAATGGCTGGTCGTCTGTCTCCGTACCTTGTATTGCTTGGCGATGTTCTGCTTGTGGTTCTCCTCCACCTGCCTGAACTTGGTCTCCAGACCACGGAGCTGCACCTCCATCTTCTCCACGTACTGCAGGTCCCTCTGAGTTCGCTGGTCCAGCACCTGGATGGACTGGGTCATGTTCTGGACCTGAGGCGCCATATGGACATATTGGGCTGAGCAGTGGAATCAATATGTACCTCTAATGCTTTAATGAGGATGAGAAAACGCAACTGATTTTCAATATGTTGCTTTGGCTTGGCTTTCTAAACTAAATGAGTCACAAACTCTGACATGAGGCCAGCTAGTCAGGAGCCTCACACGCATGGTGGAGGTGTAGGATGCATACTGTTAAGACATTTGGTTTCTCCAGAACTGTTGCAGTCTAAAAAACTCTGTCAACTTGGCTCTTTTAATGTTTGTTGATGATAGTTTGCAGCTTATGTGAATCAGCAGGCTACTTTGTATCATCAAGGGATTATCTCCATCTTTGGATACAAATGATGCATGCTAAAACTCCTTTTTTTGCAAAAGTAGCTTCCTTTAGCTTCCAGTTAATTGGCATTGAGCTGTGTTGCGTCATTACATTAGCTGTTCTGGATGTGTGCGGCACAATAAAAACTCACAGAAAGTGAGCGTATAGCTGCCTCCCATGGTGCCGGTAAGGTTTCCAGGGAGCTCATTAGAGCATGATTCCTATTCTTGTCCAACGGGCAGAGAGGGGAAAACTACAAACATGAATTGACTTATATGTGTGCATGTATTTTATTTGTGTACGAGTGACTGTGTGTGCGTTTGATTGTCAGGGTGAGACCATGTTAAGCAGTAATTACCTTCTCTAACAGCTGCCTCAGTTGCTTGGTGCGGGCATCCCGTGAACACATGGACTGCTGGGGCGCCACCACCGTGCAGACACACCTTCCCTCGCTATCCTGGGCTGAACTGTACACCTGCCACGATTCCTCGGGGTTTGCTGGCAACACCTGCGGACAAAAGAGAGGATAAGTTGAAGAACAGAGTACAAGAGGAGCAGAAAAGGGATGAAAATCGTGAAAATTTTGCAGAAAATGTCAACGCTTTCCAGCTTTTTTCTATTTAAGTGTATTGTGCAGATCTCATGCTGGAGCTGTAGTGCAGTTTACAAGCTCCACCTCTTTTGCATTATCACATTTTACAGCCACACAATAGGAGGATCGGCCACTCGAGCCTGAAGCTGAGGCTACTCCCATTATTCAATGAGCTGTGTGTGAAAGCTCAGAGAGTAAAACTGGGGAGTGCATGACGTCAGAACAAGAGGATTTTTTTCTTTTTCCCAGTGGGGAAGACAACTCCAAATCCAAAAAGGTCTCCGGGGCTGCATCAGCGTTAAATCTAAATGCTGATTTATTCAGAAAGGGAGGAGTGACTTCACCAAATGCAAAAAAAAAAAATAAAGAGCGATCGCAGCAGCTGTCAGTCAGCTGCACTGCTTTCCAATCCAGGATGTGCTGACAGGACAGAGAAAATCACTATCAAGCACCTGCCAGGACAGCTCAGATTTCCTCTGTGCTGGTCAATCAGTGCCATCACAGCGGATGCTGATAAATATGCAGAAATAAAACCTAGATCTCCTCGCAAAACAATGACACAAAAGAGCAAATCTTCTTGCTTAACTATACATTTCCTTCTTTTAAACATCCACTTGACAGATTGCTCATGTTACCCTGGCACAGGAGCGGCTCAGGATGTGCCAGAGAAACAAAGAAAGGCTTTATCTTGACTCTTAGCTGGAAGCGCTTCTCTCATTCACATATACTCATGAGAGGACTGCGAAAAATTTGATTAGATTGAAATGAGAGATGCCACCTTCCACAAGGAGAGGGGGAAAACAAGTGATAACTTTCTGTGAAGGAGGGGGCTCACACAGAAAGAGCAGCGCAGTGGCAGCTGGAGCAACATCAATCGCAGATGGAAGATGTCTCTCCAAGCACTTTTGCTCTCAATTTCTTCTGGTAATTACGCACCAAAGGCGCACACACGGTGCCTGTCTTTTGCGTAATTCAAGAGCAGAATTCAATCAGGAAAAAAAGGCAAACAGGTGCAGGAAATACGCGCGCACTTACTCCTGTACTCCGGTCTGGATACCCTCCCTGCGCCGCCGTCAGCTTGGTAGTATTGAGCCCCACTAGAGAGGGGAGGGTCTGCGACATCCAGTTGGTAATCATCGCCATGGTGCTGAGCACGACGCCGATCTTCAGCAAAGGCACCGACATCTTTGCTTCGCTTGGGACTGCTCGGACTTTCTTTTCTTAATTTTTTTCAAGCCGTCTTCATTCTACAGACTCCGGTGAGAAACAAGGGAGGCGAGGCATGGTGCAGCCCAGAGCAGCTTGCTGTTTCACCCGGGACTCCGGCTCGGCTGGTCTTTTTTTGGACATCTCCAAGAGAGCAGTTGCGACGGACGCGACGTGGAGAGAGACGACCGAAAACAAGAGGGTCGTGGTGGTGGGGAAACTGCAACACTTGCTCCAGTTTGGAAAAGAAGGAGTGAAATTTCAAGGTTCGGCAGGAACGTCCTCTGGATAAGCTCCTCTGACTGCGTTGTCCCGCACACTGCTGCCTCTCCGCTTCACAGTTACTATTTGGTTCACGCCCGTCGGTCCGCCTCCTGCCTCTGTGCGCTCTGTGATTAAGTGCCACTGACTCCACACACAGGCTGCTGCTCCAAGAGGATGAGAGGAGGAAGGAGGAGGTACTACGGATCTATCTATATCACCAGACGCAATGATGTCAGCCAGGTTGGGGTCCGCTTCTGGTGATATGTGGGATTGCGCCTGAAACGCTCATATAACCGCCCGACGCCCCGCTGCTTGTCCCCAGGGAGAAAGACCATGAGCAGTTCGGCTGACCCAGGTGGTCCCACACCTGGCGCTGAGGGATTAGTTACAGCAGACAGTGACATTTCTCTCCCCAACACCCTCCTGAAAGAGCAGCAACCTCTTTCATGTCACGACTGGCCTTTGTTTCAACCACAAAAACACTGCAATACACGACTGCACAACTCACATGTTAAGAGTGAACCCTCATTTATTCACTATGTCGCAGTTCAGCGGCAGCAAGGACTCAGAAAATGTTTTATTGATGGGTTTCCGGATACCTCCTCCGGCTCCGGGCTGAGCGCGGGCTTTTAATTCGTGAGACTCTGGCGCCATCTTGTAGCCGATTGTGGCGTTGCTAGCATCAAACAGTCAGCTAACACAAAAAGAAGCAATAAAACGACAAAATACGTTTTTATAGAGCAAAAAATGAACATAATTAATCGAAACTCTTAATTTAAACGACCTTACATTACATAAATACAGTTTTAAATGCAAAAAATGCCAGGATATCCTTCATTTAGTCTTGTACCTTTATCTAAAATGACTATGGTATGTAGCTTTTTCCTGGGCTAAATTTTGTTTTATAACATACCTTTAGTTGCTTTTTGTTTTCCCTAATAATATCTACTCAGTGTAAAGAGTCTTTTTTATCAGCTTTCATCTTCATTCATTAATTTAATTTATCTAAAGAGTAATGGATTGAATGTGCTACTGTATGTGGGCTGTTTATGTAGGCCTGTACAACATTATTAAATATTAGAAGTTGCTCACATGCATTTTCTGTATATCTAGTTTGTAGCCTCGGTGTGTTGATAGCTCTGTGATAGTTTTTGTATTAGGCCAGGTCCCAGTGTCATTGAGGTCTTGAAATGAGTTTATCCATCATTATATAAACGTATCAGCAAAAAAAAGCAGTCAAACTTTAAATGAAACCACCCAAATGTAAAGTGTCATTACTTTTCTGCCTGTGGATGTTACACTAATGAGAGTATCAGTTGCAGCAGGTTAGTTAAGAGCAGGAACATACACAAACAAAGACTGGCAATTTTTCATCACTGTCCAAATTCAATATTTCAGAGTTAAAGCCACTATAAAACTCACACACACATGTGGACTCACTCTGTTTTTGCTTACAATGTGCCATGACTGCAACAGTCTAATCATTATGATTACTTATATTCTGTTTCAGCTGCTGTGTTGCTCTAAAGTTGGGTTTTGTTTTGGACTATTTGTGCCTGGTGCAGCAGTGAAGAGCAGTTAATCATCTCAAAGATCAGTGAAGGTCACCAGTGTCTTGCACTGTTATTTTTAAGGTTGCAGATGGTGAAGTTTGGGAACTGCTGCTACAGATAAAATCATGTATTTTTTTTAGGTATTTTATCTAAAGGGTTTTTAGCAATACTACAATGAGTGCACTGATACTGTGCAAAGTTTCTTGCATCTTGACTTTGCTTTTGATAGATATCGTACAGATTTTACTATTTTTTCTAAAAATTACTGTTGTGATATATAATTTTGATGACTTTTCTTTGTGTACTTATTTGTGTACACTTAGTTTTTATTGTCTTGATGACCTACTTCTCTTGAAACAAAATGTAAGTCTACAAGTTTGTTTTTTTAGAGTTTCTTGCACATTTGTTTACCCTTATTGAACTTTTTATTTGTTTTTATAACGAGTTCAAATTAGAATGGAGTTAATTGAAGATATATGTTATAAATCAGCATAAACCAGACCTTTATTTTGAAGGGCAAGGTGTGTTTGTAACCATTTACAGATAAAATAAAGTAAAAGATGTTCATTGCACATCAAAACTGAAATCAGAGCCAATCATCCCCTTTTGCTAACTTTGCCACCCACCAAATGTCTGATTTTTGTTCTTTTTCTGGGTTTTTATTTCACAGCCAAAAGTAGTCTATAGAATTTCAAGGTTGCGTCACTGAAAAATATAGAAAAGTGCAAGCTGAGTGAAGAAATCAGTGTTTGAAGGTTAAAAATGAGGTTTTAAATCAGAAACTTGTCCCCAGTCATCAGCAGACTTATAAGCTAATGCTGCAGCCTATGGGCTAAACTGCAGCATTGCATGATACATGAGGTCCCCAGAATAGCAGACAGAGGCTCTGTGTCCACAGCTATTTCCGTCAGCACCATAATGCACTTCTCTAGTAGAGTGAGTGAAGTTTGCACTCACTGCACATCCATATTTCACCCTCTCCCTCCCCCCTCTTTCCCCTGTCTCTTTGGTGTCTCTCTTATCTTTCCCGCTTGTTTATGACCTTTGAGGTGAGAGCTCAGAGGGCCGATGGCTCCACAGATTGCTGTGAAGTATCGACCGTGGGGGGTTGGCCCACTGTTGAGCTCTGCTGCTGCACAGAGTCTGGTCCAGTCTGGTCTCATTTCAGGGCAGCACAACAGGCACTAATGACAGACTCTCACTGAAAACCTCGGGTATCCCAAAAACTCACGGGCCTGGCTATAATTCACAAAATGACCCAGAGTAGTATCTGTCATACCTTTAATTTAGAATCCTCAGTATCTAACAAAAGTAGGAGAAATGCTTCAGGTGCACTGATAAAAAGCAACAAGTGCAATTGTGAAAAATCACCAGGAAGTGATCTTTGCATTTTAATAAAAGTCACTATCTTGCAGGAGTGCAACATTTAAAGCTGTGACTAATAATTATTTCCAACACCACTTAAACTGCCTTTTTCAAACAATCCCAGTACTCCTCACAGGAGCGTTAATAAAAAGGATGACTGACTGACAAACACTGTTGACAAATGTGAGTGTTTGCAGCAGCAGAGGAAACATTCACAAAACAACTTTCGAGTTGAGGAACTTTCCACAGCTGCGCCTGAATGCACAGAAAGGCTGTGGCATCAGTCCTGCAGCTACACCAATCAGATTGCTTCCGCACCAACATAATACGTTAGTACCCATTGAGCTGGTCTTCTGGTTTCACATCCTTCAATGAAAGGAGTATGAAATCATGGTGTCCAGTTAAGATAATAGTTACAACTAGCAAATGTTGGGAAGTTTCCAAAACACTGCATCAATTTCTTTTCACTGAGTCACACATAAATCTATTACTCACTGTGGCTTTAACTGCTAAACCTGTTATGGATGGGTTGATCTATCTGTTTACACAATTAAGAGTCTAAAATAACAATGAAAGCAGACCAACAGTAGATAAATGAGCTCATCTAAGAAAGGTCTGATCCAGTTTGAGGAAGTGTCAGAGTGTTGTGCTGTTTCAAAGTTATTTTCCATTTACAAGAAAAGAGAAAAAAAAAAAACTTAGTAAAGGTGAAAAGTGTAAATGTGTCTGGAGGGAAAAAAGCAGCCTCTTAACAAAATAAAAGAAATTAACCAAGAAATAGCAGTCTCCGAATGACCAATAAACTTTTCAAACTGGCACATTAAAGCTTTATATACGCCGTATTTCAGACTCGCTGTTGTGCTCTTTAACATTAAAGCCAACAGGTGTTGAAATTGCCCTTATAGAGTGTAGGAGAAGCACCCTGACAAACTCAATATTCGATGTAATAAATGGTCACAAAGTGGTGAAAAATCCCATTTCCACCCTGCAAGTGAACTACAAAATGCACCGTGTCTCCGCCTACTCCTCTTCTGCTCGCCTTCTTTCTTTCTCTCTCTCTCTCTGCTTCCTCACTCAACCAGCCATACTGAATAATAAATAGCTTCAACCTCAGCTGCCAATCACACCACGCATATTGCAATTCAGCTCAACTCCGTCTCACTTTCTAACATAAAACCGGACTGAAATTCTTACATAAAAAACTAACTGTTAAAAATATTCCCCTGCTGGAGCTCTTATAGCTGAAGCTTTAAAAACCTGACAGGAACATCCCTCTTTATACATGCACGTAAATCCTGTACATGTGCAGGTGTGTCATGATGGTTGTTAGTAGGATGGAATGTAGGTTGCATGGTGTCAAAGGGGGAGGCTATGGCAGCGCCATCTGTTCAGTCAGGTGTCTGTGAGATGCTTTAGGATGAGGGCCTGAAGCCGAGGGGGGAGCCGCTAGGTGAGGAACAGATGCCGTTGCTCTGGCTGCTTACTATTCTTCTCTGTGTGAACACCAGGCAGCAGCCAAATCCTTCGGCAGAGGGGATAGAGGTGAATAAATGCAGGAAGAGAGTGAACTACTAATCAGGCGTCTCCCAGCTCCCGCGGCCAGATGTTAAGAAAGGACACACAGCTGCCCTGCTGTGTCTCAAATCGGGTGAGACTTCTGAAGTGAAATTGTAGATGTGGGCGTCAAGAGAGCAGCTATTGTTCAGGATCGAAGGTCAAGGCTTGACTTGTTGATGGATTATATCCCTGTTGGCCCCTCAATGCAACAAAATCACTATATTTCTGTCTAGATACCATGGCATAGCATGCCAGAAGTCAAGAAAAAAATTGTGGAATATAATGCTGTTTATTCTTCCCCCGCAACCATATCATACAATTTCTCCTTATGTGATACTGTGTGATATCATGATATTATCACAATAGTTCATCAATTATGCTAGGCAGAGCAATTTTATCATTTTATGACACCATCACAATACCAAAGTTCCTAATATTAACATAAAAACACACCATGCCATATGATACAATATTATCACAATACTTTAGACAGTATACAACACATCACAAAACTCAGGTCATCATATGATATGATTTCACAATAATAGGGTTAAGCATATATTTGTGATGTTATTATAACAACCTTTCACTTTGCTTTCGTCATGATTCTCTGTGTTATTGTCACAATGTATATCACGATAATGTCATGTCATGATATAATATTGCAATATCAATGAAAGTGCTCGTTAAAGTGATATTAAAACACATTTATGTAATACTTAAGTGACAGTATTGCACCATATTTTATATTTGCTTACAATTAATGTGTCATATCACAATATGGTCCTTAATAACTTCCGAAGTAGTTATTTAAGTGATGTCATGATTTAGGTTTACATACTACTTTGGTGATGAAATGGTACCATGGTTTCATGTTAATTTAGCCATAATTTCCTGTATTCCTATCACAATATTTATCGTGACAATGTGTCATATCACGACACGGTATTGCAGTATCAATCAAAGCAGCTATTAAGACAATATTATGATACAGTTTAACTTAACACTTAAGTGACCATACCGAACCTTATTTCACTTTGCTTCAGCCATGATTTCCTATGTTGCTATTCCAGTATATATCATGCTACTATGTCATATCTACATACGGTACTGTAATAACTTTCAAAGCTGAAATTGAGGGGATATTACATTATGTTAGTCACTGTGTGAGTCGTTCATGTTCTAACATTTCACAATTTACTGTGTAACAACATTACACATGCTGCGATTTATCTGTATTTTTTTCACTGTAAATATAGCCCTCATGGTAAACAGCTATTTATGATAATAACGAACTCAGTCAAATTTCTACAAAATAAAATGTCATCGAAGTTTCTACTTAGATGACAATGGGGACTACTCAACATTTGTAGGTGGCTAAACTGTGCACAAAATAATGCTTTACAATGTTGCCTTGTAAAATATTGCGCTTAGTGGTATAAGCATGTGCACAATATAGACAAAGGGTATAGTTCTCTTGACAGCAGTCACTAGTGCAACTTTTAATCTTTGCTACATGTTTTCTGTCTCGCCTGTCCTATCAACAAAGACAAAAATGTCCCCTGAAACACTGCCACACAATATTATTTTGTTTCCCTGACTTTCAGCAGGTGTTTCATTCCACCTGTGGCATGTCTGTTTTTATCAATCGCCTTGACAGACATATCTGATTCTTGTTAAAGCTCCTGTGAGAAGCTCTTTTTTAACCTGTACAAAATACACTGAAATTCATATCAATCGCAAACAAGACCAGCATCTGTAAGATCTACAACTTTTGTACTGTATTTTTAATGCTTAAAATCAATGTAAGGGGGTAGGTGTCAAGACAAAGCTGTTTTTATACATTTTTTCAACATTAAGTATTCACAAAAGTGATAGATTTGACTGGAAACTGTCAGCGGGAACAGATTTTTTTGTCAGAAGACACTACTCTGGTATTAGAAGACATAAGCTGAGACTGATTTGTCCACAGGAAATGCCTAATGTGACACAAATCAAAAGTTCTTCACTGGAGCTTTAAATTGTCATAATACAATACAGTTAGATACGTTTATTACAGTTTGATATTTTTGCCATTTTAAGAATTTTTAATATAGTCAAGTATTGCAAGAACTTTCATTATGTTGTTTAGCTGAATTTAGCATGTTGGCTCTTTTTGCTTCAAAATGATTAATTTGTGATCAAATGGTCACAGAAGATCAATACCTAGCTGTTTTGTGTTGATTCAATATTGCACATTTTGTAATTATTTTGTCGTATTCTGATAATTGCAATTACATACAGTATTGGGATTTATTACAGCTGCAGTGGCCATTTTTTACCTCAATGTTAAAACATCATCACCAAGGTTTCTGCCTGTTAAAAGGAAGTTTTTCCTTGCCACTGTAACTCATGTTAGTTGAGATGGGCCAAAAACCCATCTTAGGTTGGTTCTTGATCATCAAACAATGAGCGTGGTTTAGACCTGCTCTTGTTCCTTGAAAAGCGTCTTGAGATGACGACTGTTGTGAATTGGCGCTATATAAATAAAATTTGATTTGATTTGATTTGATCATTGCCTGATTTCAGTCAATATTATGACTAAACAACTATCACAGGTACTTAAAGCTCCTGTGAGGAGTTTCTGATAGGTCATGGAAGAGACTGAAATGAATAGTGTAGCATTGCTATGATAGATAACAGCAAATTAGACCATTGTTGACAAGATTGACAAATTCTATCTTGCAATTTTTAATGCATGGTATTGCTGAGAGGTGGTAGCAAACAGGCTGAATCACTTTCCCCACAGCTAATATATTTTTGTCAATTGACACCACTTTCACAAAGAAATCAGCAATGATACGAGAGTTACAACTTTATCTACAAGTTCATCACAGGAGCTTTAATAATGGCACCTATAATTTTATATCAGTGGATATAGTTTACTATTAAAATCAAATAATAAACAAGCTCTGCCGACTTTACCAATGAGATGCATGAGAATATTTAGTAAAATGAAAAGCAGTTGGTGACATTTCCTCTCCCAAATTACCTGAACAATGCTGAAAAATATCACACATGGCGCACCGTTCTCCATCCTTTCAAGGACATTACAATAATGGACAGTATTGTGATAACATATCAAGTGGAGGGCTGTGTATTCAGTTCCATCTACCAAAAGTGAGGCCGACCGAAAACACTTGTGGGTGCCTTTTTTATGTTATGAAAAAGTTTTAAAAGTAAAGTTTAGATGCTGCTGAACTATTACAGGTAGTGTGGAATAAAAGGTTCAAAATATATCATCAGAGGTACAGGTACTTGGCACATATTTTTGATATAACACCGCCTGACAGAATATTGTGATACTGAGATATACAGTTGTTTTTATTCCCACCCCTGCTCATGACTTATTTGGCAATGATAAGGCTCTCTATTTCTAGATACACCTCTCACTTTTTATATCTATGTTCAAACAGAGATGTGTGGAGGCCTGGTGGTGCTCTTGGTTTCTATAGCCAGGGCGGTATAAATAGAGCCTGTCAGTGTCTCTTGTGTTTCTGTTCTCCTGGAAGAGAGCAGACTAATATCGACTTACCTTCAAACAGATGTCACACCACTCTCAGTCCATCAGACGAGCACTGTCACTGAAATACGGGCCCTGACCTGCGCCACGCAGAGTCCGACTGTCATGAAACCCAAAGTGAAACACGCTCTCTTCCCTCCTCCGCTCTCCCTTCCTCCTGACTGATGGCTTCCATCAATCAGTGCAAACAGCCCCATTGTTCGATTGTGTCAGCATCTTTGTGCACTCTGCAGCTGCACTGTGAGAGTGGAGTTCAGATTATTGGCTACACATTTTGATGCTTCAGTAAAAAGAGGATCACAGCTTTGATTTAATTACAAATTACTCTACACACATGAGCGTCAAAAGCCAAGCTGTTGCGCCATGCATAAACAATGTCCCGTTCCAGCTTCTCTGACATTCCTCATAAATTTGCAGGAAATCAATTGCCGGCATATTTCCACCAAAGCAATATTACATCAATATTGCTCCAACACATGGGTTATCAAGGCCAGCCCGGTTTGCACCAACCTACTTTCCAACACGTATTATTGAGTTTGTCACTTGCAGAGGAGTATATTACTGAAACGCAAAGAACACAGATTAATCTATTGATGAAACCTCAGTGGCATGTTTGATTTTTGTTTTTTCTTTGCGCCTCCAATTACCGACCACAATTGGATTCACACAAGAGTGAAGAACATGAAATATGACTCAAGCAAAGGCAATTAAATCATCAGATTCTTCAATCTAGACTTGGCAAGGCCTGGCAATAAACAAACCCCTCCTTCACACACACTCTCTCTCTCTCTCACACTCTCTCTTTTCTCACTCCCAACCTTGAGGATTTATAATGGCAACAGTTTAATGCAACTATTATGTATTGCTGCAAATTGCCTCGCAGAAAGCAGGAAGTAATTTCAAGTCCCAGCAAGAAATCACAGTTGTTTAATGCTGGGTTGAGTAGCTTTGCATTGCTGGACTAAATGTTCTTTTTCTTCTTCTTCTCTCACACACACGGTCAACAGTCTGTCACACACACCGTGGTCACTGAGCATGCCCAAAACACCTTCAAGGAGACACTGCGTTTGATTGAGGTGCTTTGATTTAAAAACAATGGCTCCTTTTGACGGACTGAAGTAGAGGCAGCTTTGTGTTGGAATAACCGTGCAGCAGATTAATGTGCCTATTTGCTAATGAGGAAATTGACAGATCGAGCAATGCATCCCCCTTTGAATCTGGGGCTCCCTGCCTGTTAAGCACAATGTATTCACATCATGTAATCACACCCGTTAATCTGTCTAAGAAGGGCTAATTCAGAGGGGCTTTTTTTTAACGAGTGGTAACCCGGTAATCTCTGGGATCTGAAGGAAGAAGTGGAAAATGGCGTTAAATGGGTAACCTACTTGGGTGAGTTCTGTGCCCATGAAGATGAGGAGAATCAGAGTCAGGAGCTTGCTCGCAGGCTGCATGTCTTGCCTCCGGTGTTGGTGGACCAGCGGTCTCACATGCAGATCGAGTCCCTTTGCGTCCCCCCGCGCGCAGCAGTCCTTTCCTCCTGGATCTCTCTCGTGCGTTTCTCTCTTTCCTTATCGTTTATTATGATTTCACCCCCCTCAGTAACCCAGTATGAAAAAGCGACCGATCTGTTTCGCGGACTCGTCTCTGTGCATATTCATTTCATATCGGGAGCCTCTATCTTCCCTCGGTGCCTCTCCCCTCCGTCTCTTCTTCTTCTTCTTCTGCGTGGCCGCACTTATTTCTCGCTGCGTCGGACTGGGCTGAACATCGGGCTTACAGACGCGCAAACACTCTGGTATACACGGCTATAAACCTGCACTCCCGGTATTGCCAAAAGTTTACCTCCCCGCCTCAAGCTGCCGTATAAGCTCTCGGTGAAAAAATGAGAGTGACGGCGCTGTACATGGTGCTGAAAACGGAAGTTGCATCGCCGTGAGAGGGAGATTTAAATTGGCAACAATACAAGAGGGAGAGCGCCTCTCCAACATGATTTGCAGTAACCATTTCCATTATGGAAAATCTTGCCTGATCATCATTTATTCCTCATTTCAGCTGGATTGGATCTTTACTGAATGACCAATTCATCAAAGTTATTGCTGAATGAATACATCAGCGTTATGGTCCCATTTTCCTGGAGCTCACGCCTCACTGCAATACTCACACATTCAGCTAATTTTCTGTCTTTCTACTTTACTTCATCACATTATCTCACTGTTGCCTCCAGGGCTCAAAAACACTCAAAACAACTAACCATAAGTATGACATGACAGTTTTATTTGTGGAGCACATTTTGTCGGCTTTGCAGAGGGAATTTAAACTGGGTCAGGGTACCACTGGATCAACTGTTGCTCAACTGTGAGTCTAAACTAAAATTAGTTTTTGTTTCAGAACAAGAGACAGCAAAAACAGATAAACGCAAATCAAAGCACTTAAAGGCATGGTTGACGATTGGAGAGATTGGTCATTATTATGAACCTCGTTTATATGGCGATCATGGGCCTAAAGTGTGCTCTTCACAAAGTAAAGAGCAAAAAGAATGAAAAAAAAATCTGTTCATCCTATACACATAGACGCCTCATTACGTGCTGGAGCATAATCCAGCGTCTCCATCATATTGGATGGGTCTACCCACTCCAGGCTCACTCAAGAGCCAAACAGGGTCAATGAGGAACGAGCAACTATGCCCGTATTTTTTTGCACTCTATGGTTGAAACCAGATCACGTAGGATTATATTTCACAAATAGGATTGAAAAACTATTTGGTTTATTTTTAATGTGCGACATCATCCTGTATTATGGCTACATCCCTGCCATTGTAACAAACCACATAGTGTGAAAATTGGGCAGAGATTTGGAGAGTTATTATTAATATAGTTGGGCATTCCTACCTATCTTGATGCACTGGAGGTGCATGGGTGACCCATTCAAGATGGCGGCCACGCTGATACGTGAGCTCCAGTACACAGTGTCAGGCTTTGAGGCGTCTACGTATATTATGTCTATGGGTGCAGGACTGCAAAAACATAGACCAATGGGAGCCATCCGTTCCAGACAGCTCCTATTGGTCAATCTTCTGCTCTGCCTCTCCATCCAACCACCTCGCTGTATTCAACACACCCCTCTCCTATAGTTCTGTCCCCTCCCACTCTCCCGGCCCTCCTCCGAACTCTGAGCAGCTAAAAGTAGCGTAGCAGTTTAGCTACAAGAGCTGTGATGGAGAAGAACGCAAAAAAATATATACTTCTACTTGCCCCACCGCCAAAAGTGGGGAGAAAACACAAGCCGACAGAAGAAAGGGCGTGGACGAAGAGGAAATGTGACCAAGCGAGGGATCAAACTCGAATAAACACTGGGTCATCCTACGAGCATCGAGACAGCAGAGTTTTTGTTGACCAGGAAATTTTAATCGCCATTTATCGTAGCACATGTTACATAAATAGCTCTTATTAGTCTCTGCAATGTCAACATGGTAGCTGTCCAGGCAGCTGCAGACGGTGCTCACTAGCAGAGTTGGCGTTTACTGCCGCTAGTCACTAGCAATCCGATGTGGTGAATCCTATTTGACGCTAGCGTAGGATCTACTGCCGGCCAGCTTCTTGTTTTGTCGTAGGGAGGGCGATACAGGTTTCGGGGGTAGTTATCGTGGAGCAGTGGTTCTGGAGGTTTGTGTGTGGGGTTTGGGACACTTTTTTCAAATCTGCCTTAACAGTTCAGTTTTTTTAACTGCTTCTCAGATCGTCAACCATGCCTTTAAGGCCTATTTTTCAACTTTGGTCTTTTTCTTGAATTTTCCATTTTGAATTGAATATTAAGGTCTTGAAGTATTTTTTTATGGTTTCAAACCAAAAACAAAGTCATGTGGTCTCCTAATTTTACAGTTTTAAAAAATTAAACAAAAAACAAGGTCACATAGCAAATCCAAACCTAGAAAGCAAACTCAAGGTTTCTGATCCCTCCATATTTCTTCAGTCTTTCCTCATTTTTGCCAGAAGGATAAACGGTTGTAAAACAGCAGGTGGAAGTTAAATTTTCAATATAAAGCCAACAGGATTTTTAAATTCAGCCAGCAAAGAAAGAAGCAAGTATCAAACACAGAATCCACAATCCAGAGTCAAGTCAGGGTAAAATAAATAATTGAGGCCAATTTTCTATCGGTACCCTTACCAAACTTTTTCAAAAGTTTGTTGCTATCCATGTTGGGATAAAGGTTGAAAGAGACCAGCTGTGGTGAACGAAATACTAAGATCTTCATCCTTATGTGGTTACACAGCAAAATTAAAGCACGCCACCGCAGGTCCAAGTTGTACCATATTTATATTTGCCAATAAAGCTCCTATGAGGACACTTATGAAATGGGCTAAAATTCATCCCTCACACGATATCTAAAACATTACTGCAGTTGCAGCTGAAAAGCAAAGAAGTAGAAGAACAAGCGGAGTTTGTTGTGTGCAAAATATTTTGTATTTATAGACATTTTCACAGATAAAAACTTGACAAATGGAGAAAGAAGCTTAGCATCACAGGAGCTTCTTGTCCTCTTGCACATGCAGAATTTAACTGGTCTTAAAAAGCTCCTTTGCCTTTAAATAGATATGCTCCAGCTTTATTATTTAATCATTTTTACAACTAATACTGAAAAGTACAATATCGGTTTATACCTGTTGATCAAGCAACATCAAAATATACAGTTGGGGAAAAAAGCACAGTATCACAATGGGAAATACTGCCGGTGAAAAAACTCAGACATATGCACCAATGGATCAGATGTGTTCTTGTACATTGCTATTTTCAGGCATGAAACCCCATTTTTCTGATAATAAGTGGGTTAAAGTTATTATAAGGAGTATGATTTTAATCACTTTACCTGATTCAGACTTTATCAGGACTGTTTGTCATATCCCTGACTTTTTAGCAGATGTTTTTGCACTAACTAATGCCATAAAAATGACTTTTTGTCCTTCATATTAAAGTCCAATGACTTTATGTAATTCCCATTGTTACACATCAGCCAAAACTAATGAAAGCAGATGTGGAACAGAAGAGAGACCCTAAATTTAAGCTGTTCAGGGTTACGAACAGAGAGATTCACCCTGTAAATCTTTGCATATACCCCTCTCCTAATACACTAGTCACTCTTTCAATCTGCTTTTATTCCTTGAGCTACATTACTTTGATTCCGTGTTTCTGTGTGGGTAGTCTAGCACTTATGCCATTGTGAAATGTCAACAATGGGCACTTAATTGGGTGGTCATGTGGTTTTTAAACTGCTCTGCCTGTTACTGTCTGAACCTCATTATAGCCTAACAGATCTGTAGCTTATGGATATCTGAAATGAATTCTCTGTTTGAGGCACTTAGATGAATAAATCATTTCGGTAAAAGCATCAGGGCAAGTTCAAAGCTCTTTTCTCTATTGTGGACGTGTAATTGTCTGCTGAAGGAGTTCTGAAGCAAAATAAGATCAGACTGTGGGCAGATTTAAGCTTTGAAGGTAAGACAGTAAATTTAAGGATAGAGAATTGAAGTTTAAGACACCTGCTTTTTATGCTGAGGGTTAGAGTTTCCACAGTACTCTAGAAGTCATTTTCAGGCCATGGACTGTACTTGTATGTTTTGTGAAGCCGCTCAGAAACTTTGAACTTAAAAAGATAGATTGGCATTTTTTATGTGGGGTTGTAAAGATTAAAAGTGTAATAATCACAATGCTACGAGAACTGGCAGGCAAGCTAGGCTACAGTTTAGTCAGATTTTTAGAGAATTTAGAGGACTTTTCCCATTAAGGATTTTTCCTTTTCCTTCTTATCTTTCTGCAGACACAAGACACCAACACACTGAGAGCGCCAACCATTAAGCCAAACCAGCACCCTTCGGTAAGGTACTGTACAAAGCAACAAAACTTATCCCACTTTTATCTTGTACAATTACCACAACCTTCTGGTTTGTGATTTAGGCATCAAAAACTACCTGTTTGGCTTTGTGTGAACAAAATGGTCAGGATTTAAACTAAAGTGGTAAATGAATGTGTGAATTCTCTGTTATATGTGCCACAACTTCAAACTACAGCTGTGCTACATGACAAGACATGATTAGCGCTGGTTGGTACTGGCGAAAAGTCACAGAAGTTCATAAGTGTGCCTACAAATATAAATTTCATTTACAATATTTGTTTCCATTGTAGTTTCTGACTTGCATTGATTCATTCCAACCATAGATGGATTTTAAGACCAACTTTACTTCTCTATGTTCAAGTTAAGATTGATTAACAGCTCAAACAGACACAAAATGACTTCTATGTGGATGTCTAATCTTAACTTACTAGACTACCTTCGTTGGTTTAATTTAAACCTTGATTTTTTTTCCCTCTACATCATAAAGACATTTGGGCTCCATTCTAATAGCAAATAAACTAGAGTGACCATATTCTGAATCCCCAAAAAGAGGGACACGACTACATGGGGTGGAATCTTGCGTTGTAAATTTTGAGAGTTTTTCAGGGTTGGGTCAAGTGTTTTTTACGCACTTCTAACTCAGTAAGTCCATGTGACACAAACTCAAAACTTCCACACAAAACCCCGGACATTTGAAGGATTTTATAAGTTCCCCTGGACAAAGCTGGACAGCCCCCCAAAAAGAGGACATATCCGGGTAAAAGAGGAGGTATGGTCACCCTAAAATAAACTCATTCATTTGGAGTGTTCAGAGGAGCAGAGGATGAAACACAAACATCACTTCTACCTGAAAGCCAACTCTGCAAACTACACTTCCTTAAACTTTCTTGATTTAAACCTTTATTTATTGATTAATTCTGTCTAAACTAGAGCTATTTTTAAAAAATTTCTTTCAGATTGAGGCGCCAAAACTACTTGCTTGGGTTTAGAAATTGATTCAACCTACAGTCAACTTCGATGAAACACAAGTATCAGAAGACTCCTTAGTTAAGGTGAACCAACTCTTCCCCCAGGAAGCCTTGAAAGCTGCTTTAACCTTAACTAAAGCTGTGCCAAATGACAAAAAAAGAAAACAGACTTTTATGTTGAAGGCCCCTCTATTTGTTTTAAATTCTTGTGGGTAAAAACACAGAAATTTCAAACAGTGCATAGAAATCTGAAGAGAAGTCAGCAGAGACTGTTTCAAAGCGGCACTGAGACTGGGTTGAATGTTTCAGCTCGGGCGCTCTCACTGAAGATGTGATT